GGTGCAGGAAAGTTGTTGGGATCCACCGACTCATAATCATCTTCAAATATCGGTTCCTCTTCAGAATAAACACTTATTTGATCTCCACTTTCGCTGGAACTATCTTGTAAAATTTTTCTTTTCTTTGTTTTTACAATTGCCTTTATTTGTTTGCGTTTCTTTTCTTCTCCTCTCATTTCTATTTCATGTTTATGAGGTGTGTCAGTTGCAATCATTGATTTACCTTTACGTCTTGGTGCTCTTCCCCCTGTACGTGGCCCTGCTTTAGGTAGCCCTCGAAATTGAAATGGACTCAGGAATTTCTTATTAACATTTGCAGAAGAAGTACCAGCTGCAGACGACGAAAGTGCCAGCGTCGATAAAGAACAAGCCGCAATCTTAGAATTATTCAAATAGGAAGTACTAACAGTGGTTTTAGGTTGTTTATTTTGCACGTGGGCCTTCGTGATTGGCAATAAAGCGTTGACTAATGTAACATCAGGTTGTCGTTGAATATTTGTGTATGGAGTCGGAGGGAGTTCTAGTACATGTGGTGATGGGGTTTTCGTTCTGTCACTGTTATTACCTTGAGCGCCAAGTTCTTCAAGTTGAAAATCTAGATTTGAATCAAGGTAGGGAAACTCTAATATTGACGGCGATGGGGTTCTTGATTTATCATCTTGAACAGGTCTATTGCTCTCATTTTGATCATTTTCCACATCCATTTGTCGATCAGTAACTTCACATGGTGTAAAATCTAGATCAGTAAAAATATCTCTGTTGAAGGGGAATATTCCGGTGGCTTTGAACGCAGCGCATATATTTCCAGGTGTCATAGCTTTCATGTGAGCTTCCCTGACACATCCAGCTACTTCATATATTGAGAAAGTTTTCCCAGGATTTCGCAACATCCAACTATCTACTGCTTTGTTATAAGCACTTTTAAATGGCCCGAAAATGCCGACGTCTAATGGTTGTAGCTTTCCTGTTGAATGCGGTGGCACTGTTAAAATGGTCACACCATTTTCTTTTGCTAGATTCAAGGCTTCTATGCAAATATGCGACTCGTGGTTATCGTATATGAGCAGGCTAGGGTTTTCTTTGCTGCTGTTTGAATGGGCTATAAAATGCTGGATTGTTTGCACGAACAATTCTGCGTTCATCCAGCCGGATGGTGTAGCTAGACCTAAGGTTCCAGTTGGAGCATCCGCAATCATATGTTGTTTGAAATGCACCCTGGGAAATATAATTACTGGCGGCAGTGCATTACCCAAAGCGCTAACAATATAACAAGTTGTTGTTAACGTCCCGCGTTCTGCGCTGGTGACCTTAGAAACCTGTCTTTGTCCTTTCGCTGCCAAAACTTTGGCACATTTTTGCACCGTCATGGTATTTGTTTCATCTAAGTTAAAAACTCTGGTGCCATTTCCAAAGACAGTGTGTCTAGACATAACATTTTCTAGGTTACTGAAGAACACACCAACATTGTGACGGTTAAAAGACGTCGCTCTGCTTAAGCTGCATCCCTCAGGGGTGCGCAATGATAATCGATTATCTCTTTTTCTGAGATTATATAAATACTCAATACCAGTGAGCTTAGTATCATGCCATTTATCTGGTACTTTTATATTGTTAATCTTCGCAACTTCGTAAATAAGACGTCGAACATCTGTGATGGTAAGTCCATAAAACATTTGACTGCACTTAACAATATAGTCGACTATATCTTTTTCTTGCTCGACGGCAAATATTTTGTGTACTGCGTAATTAGGTGTAAGCCTTATTGGTTTTTCAGGATCAGGATTATTTTTTACTTTCATATGATACCTATATAATGTTGTAAAAGGAATGCCTGTCGATCTAGCAACAGCCCTTATTTTTTGGCCATCCGATATAAGTTTTAAGGCGTTGCTCATCTGTTCTTCAGTGTGAAGTCCGATAAGAGTCTTCCTTACCCGATTGCGAGGCATTTTTACCTAAAAAAAAAGACGAATGAAATTCAGCTTCACGGGTTACAATGGATCAGCAGTCCACTGTGACCCAAAACAAAATGATTCACTGTGACCCATTGGACTTTATGAAAAAACAATATTACTAAACAAAAACTACCTATCTCAATGACAAAACAACATGATTTACAATAAATTTAGTTAATAACAAACGTACGACAAAATACAAACATTCATATTTCTTATATCCCTAGAAATAAACCAAAATTTAAAATTACGTAAAAAAATAGTTTCGTTACTTACCTACTGAGCAGAGTGTGACAGCACGTGTTCCCGCATTGATACCGCGACGGCGACTAGTTCGGAGGAGAGGGGCATGGACGAGCAATAACAACACGTTTGTTTGTGTATGCAAGTGCAACACATATTGAGTTTTACTGAATTATCCACTGTACCCCGCGATTCACTGTGACCCAATCTCCCTATTAGGTAATATCTTTTATGACGTCTGTGAGCTCAGGAGCAGATCGAAACTGCATTTTAACTAATTTTTATTACGAGACCTGACCTTCAGGTAGAGATCTCTGTTAGCGATAACACCGCCAATTGTACTCTTGTTTTAAGGTTAAGTCCTTATTCATATTATTGTTACTAGTGGTGTACAATAAAGGGTTATCTATATACTAAACAGATATTAAGGCTCATATATTAATAATAACGTCTTTATATTCCCAATGTTCATTCGTTTCCTTTGTCGTTGAACCTACCTCATGATACTCTATGTTGTCTGTAGAAGAAAAATTCAATGCGGTTTTTTCTGAAACTTCTGATACCCCGACGTACCTCGGACCATCTACGGATTATAAATGATCCCCTCTTGTGTAGGAACCCCGATGTTCCCTTCCTTTCTCCGAAGGGCGTTGCGCCGCCACCGATTCCCCGCTTCTGCTAGAGTGATAGATGGCCTCACCTTTTATTCCCACGTTTGCGCTTATGGAGGACGGAGGTCGTTCTGCGACCTCCGACGCCTGAGTCATCTGCAATACCTGACCCGTTCCCAGGCTTTGCGGACCGGGAGAGTTCTAGACCTCTCCCGGTCCCGCTCTGCCATCTCCTTCGCAAGCATGACTCGCTCAGCTTGTCTCCTTCTGGAGACGTCGGAGTTTCACGCACTCTCGCTCCGTACCATGGCCGCTATCATGTTACCGTTCGAAATAATTCCCACTCCGATGACCACCATTACGCCTCTGCTCCACCCAAGCCGGGCATTCAGCCAGTGTGTAGAGCGCCGTGTCCTCGGTCCGGCCATCGCAGTGGTGACACTCAGGCGTTGGCTTCTTGCGGATCAAACACAGGTGATCTCCGAAGCATCCTTTCCCGGTGATCACCTGCGTCAGCCGGTATGAGGGTCCATTTTTGCCTCTCAAGCAAATCCTCCATAACGGACCTTACCGCCGCAATAACGGCGTGCCCTACGCTTGGTTGCACTTGTCGTTCCTAAAACTCCACCACAAGGACCTGGGGCCTTGGGATTTTGGTCTTCGATTTCGCGAACTTGTATTGAATCTCAGTTAGGCCGTTTATTTTGACAGATGAATAGATGTTAAGAGAGGTGATGGTACAATTTGTAACATGATATTATGTGGTTATAGTACGAATTTCAATGCTAGGTCGGTTTAATTTGTTTACACTAACTTTTAAACTTTCGCGTTCCATGATAATTAATATTATTTTAACGGGAATTAACGCGATCTCTTATTTAGGGTATTACATACCTCTGGTTTGCCTGACGTTTCGACCAGGTTGCACCGGCCGTGGTCACAGGCTGACTGGCTCATCGGCGCACGCCCTCCGTCGTCGAATCCGTGAAGTAGAAGGCTCTTCATCTACCCGCACATTTTCGATATTGTTGTTGTTTTTGTGTCGCCATGTACCGTAATATACCACACTAACAGTGTCCCTATTCTGTAAGCAAACCGATGAGTCCCTATTCTGGTGTTTAACCGATTGCGCAGAAAAGCGAGGTGGTATGTTTTTTAACACTGGATTCCACGCTGTAGATAATTTAAAACCATCCTCCCGATTGAAAGTTTTATGCTTTTTAATCTCAATCGCTTCACGTACAACTCTTGAGTAAAAGTGACGTTCGGTGGACAGGACTTGCGTGCGGTGAAATTCAATCCAGTGGTTGATGTCTGCATCGAGTGCATGTTCTGCAATTGCTGATTTGCTCGTCTGTCGGTTCTTCACAGCAGCGATATGCTCTTTGACCCTTTCTGCAATAGTCCGCTTAGTTTGGCCTATGTATGAGCTTCCGCAGCTACTAATTTCTTGAGGCAAGGCGGTGCTGGTCGAGTGCCGAGTGGCTCTAATGAGATATGGACTTATTTATTTATTTTTATGGCTCTGATGAGATATGGACTTATTTTTAAGCTATTACATAGCTTCTATCGCGGGCCTTGGGCGTGGAGACCGAATCCAGAAATTCCGTAACGAAAATATCCTAACACTCCGACCGGCTCAGCGGTGATACTTTTTAGTTTTGCCATCTATCGATGAATAGCAGAACTTTTATTAATGTAATAACATCCACATACAATACCCCTCCCTCCCCCCACCAAAAAAATATAATTGCATTGAGTTCCCTTCAAAATACCTCCCCCTCTCTCCCCTCAACTTTTTTGGAGTATTTGGACCCCCATGTTTGGGATCGTCTGAACCAGGAAAAGGAGACTAACAATCTGGTCCCTAACATGTAACAACACTTCAGTCTGTTCTTCTAAAGAGGGGCGAGGGGGGGAGGTATTTTCGAGGGATGACTTATTTTTTTATGATTGCATGAGTGAGTCATTAATTATATTATTATTAAGTCAGGTACAGAAACAGACAACACTTTCACTTTCTTTTGGTATCTTAGCTTTATTTTATTTAGTTTATTGTAATTCATTTGCTACAAAACAAAATCCTGTAGAAATGAAATAAGTATATCTAAATATTAATGTAAATAATGTTAATGACAACAGTTATTTTACAACTTTAATTTTATTTCATGTACATTTATTATTGTTGTCTTCAGTCTGCAGGAGATGATGGTTCAGCCTTCACATGGACCGTCGCCACGGAGGTTTGCAACGCGTCACAGATCATTATATTTATACTCTGTTCCATACTGTAAAAAAGAAACGTCATGTAATTAATGGCCTACCAGCAAAATCGGCAACCTTTTCCTACCCAAAATTAGGATTGATTGGCTAAAACGCAGCCAGCCCAGTCGCAAATTTAAACTATCCGAAGTCCCACTTAAACACATTAATGTTTCGTCAAAATGTTAAATTAGAAAACTCGATTTGACGGTACAGTTTTAAAAAATTCGTAAAAACTAACACACTAAACACGTTTCTCGTACCGTGTGTATGATATAATTTACAGCATACAGTGACACCCATAATTTAAATTTAAATAGCACCAATTTAGTAAAAACTAATTCATTCTTGAACCATACATACGTTAACATTTCTGTATCATCATCGGATTCCTCTTTGATTTTGCTTAATGTTAAGGCAACGTTTTCGTGATCAGCTGAGTCCCTGTGTAAGAGGAAGGAAAAAATACATATCAATGGGTTAGTATGTTCAGAAGTTAGTTATTTATGAAGGATAGAGGCAAGGAGTACTATTCTATTTTGACGGAAAATCGAAAGTGTCCAGCAAACAGCAGTAAATAATAACTAAATTAAAAAATTAAATTTTATGCACTTTTGGCACTTTGGCACTACAGAATATAATTGAGACACCTGTAAAAAATTAGTATAAACCCTATTACCAAATCACTTATGTCCAAATACATAAAGTTATGACATGTATAATTTTTTTCTTTAGCGTTCAGGGATGCTGACTACCAGCCCAGAGGTCGTGGATTCGATTCCCACCCAGGTATTCCCACCCAGGTATAATAGTCTGCATCGCAGTCTGGTTACTAAAGTACAGACTCTGTCTAGTTTGGGATCATACAGCCGCGTGTGAGGTGTCAAATTATTATTATTACATATATACTCACCCTGTCTCGAGGGGATCGTCTTCTATCGTCGGTGGGCATTCATCATCAGCAGATTCAATCTTATATTCCGTTTCCATCACCCTGTGTACTCTCAACTGAATAGGGGACGGGAACCTGTAACATTTACACACATTCGTAAATGAAGAGGTTATGCACAGCTGACTATCTCAAAAAATTACCAATACTTACGGCAATTGTTCCTCGTCGCTGGGTTTACTTCTGACGCTGCTGCCAGTCGCTCTTCGCCTGACAGGTTTCAGAGCCTCACTTTCATTGGCACAGTCAAGTCTGTAATGTATACATATATAATATAACACGTATTACATTATATAAAGAAACTAAGAATTGCTGAGGTAAGAAATGGACCTGGGGTAAAAGATGTAGTGACAAGAATTGAGAAAGGGATGCTGCGTAGGTTAAACAAAGAGCGCGAGATTCCCTGGTTTCCTGTTACACTATTCCGTTCATTCACGTAATCTCACACATCGCAGAAAAACGAGAGGAAGTATGTTACACCTCACCAAACATCTCCGATCGGCTCGATCTCTTGGCGTTACGTAGAGATGTGGCTTCACTCTTCATGCTCTACCGCAAATATCATGGAGAGTGCTCCGAGAAATTGTTCGGACTAATACCAGTGGCAAATTGCCGCCATCGTTCCACACGGCAAAATTTTCATACTCATCACCTTGATAGTTGGCGCTCCACTACTGTGCGCTTTTCGAGACACTTTTTGCCCCGCACAACCAATCTGTGGAACGGGTTTTCGTCTGCGGTATTTACGGACCGATACGACCTTCAAGCCTTTCAGAAAAGAGCGTACTCCTTCCTAAAAGGCCGGCAACGCATTTGTGACTCCTGAGTTGCAAAAGTTCATGGGCGGCGATGGTCACTTTCCATCAGGTGACCCGTCTGCTCGTCTGTCCCCTCTAACATAAAGAGCCTCTATTAAACATAACATATTATATATATCTATATATTAAGGCTCATATATTAATAATATAATGTTGTCTGTAGAAGATAAACTCAATGCGGTTTTTTCTGAAACTTCTGAACTAAATTATTTAGCAAATCAATCGCAACAAAATAACTGATGAATATTCTAGTGGGGCGGTTATGTCGGACTCGAACCGATTAAAAAACGCCGTCTACAGTTACCAGTAGCCGGGGAACCAGGTATACCCCAGAAAGGAAAGCTCTGGTACCCCGTCGTACCTCGGACCATCTACGGATTATAAATGATCCCCTCCTGTGTAGGAACCCCGATGTTCCCTTCCTTTCTCTGAAGGGCGTTGCGCCGCCACCGATTCCCCGCTTCTGCTAGAGTGATAGATGGCCTCACCTTTTATTCCCACGTTTGCGCTTATGGAGGACGGAGATCGTTCTGCGACCTCCGACGCCTGAGTCATCTGCAATACCTGACCCGTACCCAGGCTTGGCGGACCGGGAGAGTTCTAGACCTCTCCCGGTCCCGCTCTGCCATCTCCTTCGCAAGCATGACTCGCTCAGCTTGTCTCCTTCTGGAGACGTCGGAGTTTCACGTACTCTCGCTCCGTACCATGGCCGCTATCATGTTACCGAGCGAAATAATTCCCACTCCGATGACCACCATTACGCCTCTGCTCCATCCACGCCGGGCATTCAGCCAGTGTGTGGAGCGCCGTGTCCTCAGTCCGGCCATCGCAGTGGTGACACTCAGGCGTTGGCTTCTTGTGGATCAAACACAGGTGATCTCCGAAGCATCCTTTCCCGGTGATCACCTGCGTCAGCCGGTATGAGGATCCCTTTTTGCCTCTCAAGCAAATCCTCCATAACGGACCTTACCGCCGCAATAACGGCGTGCCCTACGCTTGGTTGCACTTGTCGTTCCTAAAACTCCACCACAAGGACTTGGGGCCTTGGGATTTCTGGTCTTCGATTTCGCGAACTTGTATTGAATCTCAGTTAAGCCGTTTATTTTGACAGATGAATAGATGTTAAGAGAGGTGATGGTACAATTTGTAACATGATGATGTGGTCATAGTACGAATTTCAATGCTAGGTCGGTTTAATTCGTTTACAGTAACTTTTAAACTTTCGCGTTCCATGATAATTAATATTATTTTAACGGGTATTAACGCGATCTCTTATTTAGGGTATTACATACCTCTGGTTTGCCTGACGTTTCGACCAGGTTGCACCGGCCGTGGTCACAGGCTGACTGGCTCATCGGCGCACGCCCTCCGTCGTCGAATCCGTGAAGTAGAAGGCTCTTCATCCACCCGCACATTTTCGATATTGTTGTTGTTTTTGTGTCGCCATGTACCGTAATATACCACACTAACAGTGTCCCTATTCTGTAAGCAAACCGATGAGTCCCTATTCTGGTGTTTAACCGATTGCGCAGAAAAGCGAGGTGGTATGCTTTTTAACACTGGATTCCACGCTGTAGATAATTTAAAACCATCCTCCCGATTGAAAGTTTTATGCTTTTTAATCTCAATCGCTTCACGTACAACTCTTGAGTAAAAGTGACGTTCGGTGGAGAGGACTTGCGTGCGGTGAAATTCAATCCAGTGGTTGATGTCTGCATCGAGTGCATGTTCTGCAATTGCTGATTTGCTCGTCTGTCGGTTCTTCACAGCAGCGATATGCTCTTTGACCCTTTCTGCAATAGTCCGCTTAGTTTGGCCTATGTATGAGCTTCCGCAGCTACTAATTTCTTGAGGCAAGGCGGTGCTGGTCGAGTGCCGAGTGCCGAGGCTCTAATGAGATATGGACTTATTTATTTATTTTTATGGCTCTGATGAGATATGGACTTATTTTTAAGCTATTGCATAGCTTCTATCGCGGGCCTTGAGCGTGGAGACCGAATCCAGAAATTCCGTAACGAAAATAACCTAACTCTCCGACCGGCTCAGCGGTGATACTTTTAAGTTTTGCCATCTATCGATGAATAGCAGAACTTTTATTAATGTAATAACATCCACATACAATACCCCTCCCTCCCCCCTCCAAAAAAATATAATTGCATTGAGTTCCCTTCAAAATACCTCCCCCTCTCTCCCCTCAACTTTTTTGGAGTATTTGGACCCCCATGTTTGGGATCGTCTGAACCGGGAAAAGGAGACTAACAATCTGGTCCCTAACATGTAACAACACTTCAGTCTGTTCTTCTAAAGAGGGGCGAGGGGGGGAGGTATTTTCGAGGGATGACTTATTTTTTTATGATTGCATTGAGGTCCCCACAAAATACCTCCCCCCTCACCCCTCAACTTTTTTCATTTTTGTATTCTAGCACATATCGAGTGAATGGGTGAGTCATTAATTATATTATTATTAAGTCAGGTACAGAAACAGACAACACTTTCACTTTCTTTTGGTATCTTAGCTTTATTTTATTTAGTTTATTGTAATTCATTTGCTACAAAACAAAATCCTGTAGAAATGAAATAAGTATATCTAAATATTAATGTAAATAATATTAATGACAACAGTTATTTTACAACTTTAATTTTATTTCATGTACATTTATTATTGTTGTCTTCAGTCTGCAGGAGATGATGGTTCAGCCTTCACATGGACCGTCGCCACGGAGGTTTGCAACGCGTCACAGATCATTACATTTATACTCTGTTCCATACTGTAAAAAAGAAACATGTAATTAATGGCCTACCAGCAAAATCGGCAACCTTTTCCTACCCAAAATTAGGATTGATTGGCTAAAACTCTTTGTGTGAAGACTAACTTTCAGTGTCTGGTTTAAGCTCCATGTACCGGGCCCAGTCGCAAATTTAAACTATCCGAAGTCCCACTTAAACATATTAATGTTTCGTCAAAATGTTAAATAAGAACACTTGATTCGACGGTACAGTTTTAAAAAATCGTAAAAACTAACACACTAAACACGTTTCTCGTACCGTGTGTATGATATAATTTACAGCATACAGTGACACCCATAATTTAAATTAAAATAGCACCAATTTAGTAAAAACTAATTCATTCTTGAACCATACATACGTTAACATTTCTGTATCATCATCGGATTCCTCTTTGATTTTGCTTAATGTTAAGGCAACGTTTTCGTGATCAGCTGAGTCCCTGTGTAAGAGGAAGGAAAAAATACATATCAATGGGTTAGTATGTTCAGAAGTTAGTTATTTATGAAGGATAGAGGCAAGGAGTACTATTCTATTTTGACGGAAAATCGAAAGTGTCCAGCAAACAGCAGTAAATAATAACTAAATTAAAAAATTAAATTTTATGCACTTTTGGCACTTTGGCACTACAGAATATAATTGAGACACCTGTAAAAAATTAGTATAAACCCTATTACCAAATCACTTATGTCCAAATACATAAAGTTATGACATGTATCCTTTTTTCTTATATTTTATTTTGTTTAGCGTTCAGGGATGCTGACTACCAGGCCAGAGGTCGTGGATTTGATTCCCACCCAGGTATAATATTGTGTGATGAGTACGATCATTTGATCTGTGTCTGAGTGTAATTTATCTACCTATAATATGTATGTATTTAGGAATACCTATATAAGTATCTTTATCAGCAGTCTGGTTACTAAAGTACAGGCTCTGTCTAGTTTGGGATCATACAGCCGCGTGTGAGGTGTCAAATTATTATTATTACATATATACTCACCCTGTCTCGAGGGGATCGTCTTCTATCGTCGGTGGGCATTCATCATCAGCAGATTCAATCTTATATTCCGTTTCCATCACCCCGTGTACTCTCAACTGAATAGGGGACGGGAACCTGTAACATTTACACACATTCTTAAATGAAGAGCTTATGCACAGCTGACTATCTCAAAAAACTACCAATACTTACGGCAATTGTTCCTCGTCGCTGGGTTTACTTCTGACGCTGCTGCCAGTCGCTCTTCGCCTGACAGGTTTCAGAGCCTCACTTTCATTGGCACAGTCAAGTCTGTAATGTATACATATATAATATAACACGTATTACATTATATAAAGAAACTAAGAATTGCTGAGGTAAGAAATGGACCTGGGGTAAAAGATGTAGTGACAAGAATTGAGAAAGGGATGCTGCGTAGGTTAAACAAAGAGCGCGAGATTCCCTGGTTTCCTGTTACACTATTCCGTTCATTCACGTAATCTCACACATCGCAGAAAAACGAGAGGAAGTATGTTACACCTCACCAAACATCTCCGATCGCCTCGATCTCTTGGCGTTACGTAGAGATGTGGCTTCACTCGTCATTCTCTATCGCAAATATCATGGAGAGTGCTCCGAGGAATTGTTCGGACTAATACCAGTCGCAAATTTCCGCCATCGTTCCATTACTGTGCGCCTTCCGAGACACTTTTTGCCCCGCACAACCAATCTGTGGAACGGGTTATCGTCTGCGGTATTTCCGGACCGATACGACCTTCAAGCCATCCAGAAAAGAGCGTACTCCTTCCTAAAAGGCCGGCAAGGCGTTTGTGACTCCTAGGTTGCAAAAGTTGATGGGCGGCGATGGTCACTTTTCATCAGGTGACCCGTCTGCTCGTCTGCCCCCTCTAACATAAAAAAAACCATCATCATCAGTCTATCGCAGTCCATTGCTGGACATAGGCCTCTCCCATTGCACGCCATGCCACTTAGGTCTATGTTTAGCTTCTTGCATCCATCTCCTGCCAGCCATTTTGTACAAATCGTCATTAAACCGGTCAGTTGGAGTTACATATCAAATATAAACTAATTAAAATATTTATTGTAAACTAATTGTATCCTGCCACGTTTTGCTGTTGCACATTGTGGATGCATTGATGAGGAATGAGGAACAAAAATGATAAACAATCTTTTAAGTTGGTTTTACATCTTGTCTAAGTTTGAGAACTGCTGCAGAACTTTTTGAGTTTTTGAAGCGTACAAAAACCAACTTAATTTTTTTATAAATACTTATAGATTAGTTTCTAGAACCTATTAAAAACTACCCGCCCTCATATATATATATTGCTTGCTTCAAACACTTACTGAGACTCCTTCTCATCGATGTGTTCTACCTTAATCTTTATGCCTCCAGCAGACATATCGAAGGTAAGAGGTGAACTCCTTCTGAAACAGTTAAGTTTCCATTTTAAATTAATTTATTCACCCGCAATTTATTATATGGCCAAACACTAACGTAATTCAAATAACAATCATTCTTATTTTTTATTTATTTATAGGTTGTATTCGACTGCACGGATTGCGTAGTGGTTGTTCTAAGTCTTGGTGTTATTTATGTCCGTTTCATGTACGAGTATGTCTGTAAAGTCCCCCGCGGCACAGGATATAATCCGGGAGTTGTCTTTTTTAAAGATAATAAAATAAAATATAACACTCATATATATGCATAAATATGTATACACAGTAAAAAAAGTTAACATTACCGTAGTGTCATTGGAACTCTGGTACCCATGGTAAGGTCTAACTTGTGTTATGGGCGTCAAAAATAGCGACCATCCCAATCTTCGGGCGGAGTGGATAGGAACTCAAAAGCCGGCCAAGTCACTTACCATCAGGCGATCACATGACCCCTATTCCATAAAAATAAAATCTCATATCCCATAGATATTAGATTTCTAAACCGTACGGCTGAGCACACACAGCAACAGTGGCGCTATCTAATCTTTGACTACCCTTATTCCTTATTTTGACGTCTACTTCTTTACATACAGAGATCTCCTTTCTCTTTATTAAATCTACTGGTTTCAGAAAATGCACCCAAATAGGTCTATCTTTGACTTTGACTTTTGATTTGTGAGGTGCTCTAAGCTAAGTCGTAACCGAGTAATTTTGCACATTGAATAGTTAAACAATCCTAGCCAGGTCAGTCTATGGATGGGTGACCATTCTTAACATATTGAGACCCCTTCCATGCCTAGGAGAGCACGTTAAGCAATCAGTCCCGGTTGCCATTCGAATATCTGTGGCAATCGTTGCGGGTAGTTGGCTAAAAGGTCTGACAACAGTCTGTCTATAGAACTTCGATGGCTTCTTCTTCGATACTTGGCTTCTGGAGATCCGATGGCAAAATGGAAGTTCAGACATGTCGTATAGGAAAAAGCTCGGAGGATGACGGTCTATCTTTCACTTACCCTTCATCATTACTATCCACTTCAGGTTCTTTCTCATCACCTTTTTCTTGAACAGGCACATGTTCCGACCCGGCATAATTCTTTTTGTCTTCCACAATCATGGTGACGGCCTGTGCACTGACTCCAGTGGCTTCCGCTGTACGTTGGAGGTAGTTAGCTAACGGATTCATTTTCCAATGATTTCCAGTAAAAGCCTTCAAAATCTCGTACTCATTTTTGAAATAGTGGTATACCCTGGCGATGATCATTTTGCCCTGTGCAAGAATAGATAAGGCTTATAAGAAGGTTTAACTATTTTTCTTCAAGCCCCCTGCCCTTCTAGTTTTTACGTAGTAATTCATTAAAATGGTTTTAAATCATTTAATGCAAAAAAGGGTGCAGTGGTTTTATGAAACCACGATGCCAGTGAAACTTTTTTCTGATTGAGGCTGAGGCTTAACTGAAAATTTTCGGAAAATTATTAGATTTAGGGTATTTAAAATTGCCTTCATCACGATGAAGTAATCAACAAGATTTACATATTGATGTAAACACACAAATACCGCGGAGTACTTGCACGAATGAGTGAGAATATAAATGTTACACGGTCAGCTGTTGCGAGCGCCGCCATATTGGCCTTGGCTGTAATGCGACGTGCGATAGATCAGGGATTTCCAGTTGTCTACATAAACGACGAGGACTAAAAATCACATTTGAAACACAAGTTCTCATTTGAAACTTTCAAGATATACTGTATTCGTTGTGTTACGTGTACCAATTTGTTATAAGAATTAGCAATTTTTTAGTAGGAAGTATCAAAACTCAACAAGACGATAAACGTGCAGTAATTTGGCTATGGGGTCTAAGGTATCAGTTATATGTTAGAAAAGGGGTCTCTTGCCCAAAATAGATTGGGAATCCCTGCGGTACATGGACTATTTTTTTAAATTCGATATAATTAAAGTTTTACTTTAATAAAAGTGACGTGTTTGTCGGTTATCGCTGTAAAAATTAGCCCATGTTACCTTCATATTCACATTAATAATATAAGTATAGATTCGTTAATACTTCAAGAATTTATTTTACACCCCTTTTCGAAGATATATGACGCACAAAACCATATCATATCATGCATATCATACTTCAAGCGGCGGTAGCCTAGTGGTTAAGGCGCGACTTGCGATCAAGAGGATCGAATGCTGACCAGTACACTACCGACGTGAATCCACTCCTAACACAAGCAATTTAGCTTAGCTGAAGGGGTTAACGGGAATAATAGTAATTTCGGTTGCTAGTAAGCCTTTAAAAAAAACCCTACTTAATGGTTATATATCGAAGAATTACACAAAGCTTAAAAATGTATGTGCTATAAAGTTATAAATTGTGTAAAACCTATTATATAAAACTATTAAAATAAAGAGGTCCAGTAGATATTTTTTTCTTGTCATAACATGAGGTAGATTCGTCGGACGATCCTTTGTCTAGAATAGAAATCACGACTCATTTCACATTAGTAGCATACAAAATTAATATGAAGCAATTAATTACTACTCTTGACAATCATGGATAATAAGTTTGGGCGGATTATGTATTATTCGCAAAATCTCCAACTGTCCAATTCTTAATTGGTCCAGTTTGTGTTGATCGCAATACTTACTAACCTTACTTTAATAACCTAACCTCTACCGTTTCATTCTGCTAAACTTAGAAAAAGCTAGTGGAACTGGTCAAACTACTACAACACAAGCAGTTCGATTCTGACACTTGCAGGATGAATATTGGACATCCTACGACCTGGACATTCTGCGAATTGGACATTCTGCGAACTGGACACTTTGCGACCGCTGAAAATTTTGTGACAACTACAAATTTAACACTTTATCTTTACCTACCCTCATGGCAGAGAGAATGCCTCATGGCATTAAGTCCGCCTTTATACGACATGTGCATTAAGTTAAAAATAAAATATATTGTGATAGTTACCTCCGGTATCTCTTGAACTTGTTCAGCTGCTGATTTATCCACGGAGTTGCTAGCAGGATCACGATCTTCAATCTGCATAAACAAACGTTTATAATTAATCGAAAGAAAAAAAGACGAAGAAAACCCAAGATCAAAACATGCGCCATCTCACATCGCAATTAAAGTTCCCGGTGCAATTTATTACCAAACGTCTACCAAAATGCGAAAGGAACTTCGTTTCGACTGGGGTCCATAGACCCCTCACGCCCTTCTTTTTATATATCTTTTCTAATTTCTCATAAATATACCCCACAGTATAGGCAGCTGTACAGCTAGTTATATATTAAAACACAAGTTCCCATAAGTATTCGATGGACCACCCAGAGGAGGAAAGGACAGAACTCTTTTCTCATCAATACCATGATAATTAATATGCACAAATAGTTACCTCGTGTACCTCTTGAACTTGGGGTTCTGGTTCCTCTGCAGATTTCTCAGCAGTCTGACAGTTCTGGACCTGCAAAGTCGATCATTGTTTTACTAAATTTTAGCAATCAAATAGCTTAGCGGTAATAAGTGCTTACTCCAGCAACTTAATTTTAATTAAACCAAGTTAATGATAATAATGGGAGAGACCTATGTCCAGCAATAGACCACGATGGGCTGATGAATCCTAATAATATTCTATCACATTCACACAACGCCATCTAGTCCTTTTTTATTTATTTTTTCCGTGTGGAATTCCACTGGTGGCTATGTCGGACTCGAAACGACTTAAAACCCATTAACGCCATCTAGTCCTAAAATAGGCAGAGCTTCTACTATGGAGTATCCATAGTACAAGCTCTGCCTATTTTAGGACTTAGGACAACTGATAAAAATACATATTTAGGTACCTTTTTGTAAATACTCACATATCATACATAAAAAGACCCTGACCAAACAATAATAATAACTTCACACATCTTACACACGGCAGTCTGATCCTAAACAGAACAAATAATCGTGGGAATTACTCATTATTTCACAGTCACACTTACTCAATACACACACACACACAAACATACAGAAGTACACACGAAACATGTCACGCGTGCACGTCCCCGAATTTCAAACATTGGAAATTTGAAAATTAATGTAGTACCTAGTACCTATAATGAAATACCGTGAACGAGCCATCAGCAGAAAACTCCGCTTCGCCAGCATAACTTGCTCGCAGAAGGAGACGGCAGATTTCCACGCACTCTCGCTCCGCACGATAGCCGTGATCAGGTTATCGAGCGAGAGAACTCCCACTCCGATGGCCGCCACGAGGTCTCGTGTGGAGAGCCGTGTCCACGGTCTGGCCATCGCAGTGGTGGCACTAAGGCGTTGGCTCCTTGCGGATCAGACACAGGTGATCCCCGAAACATCCTTTCCCAGTGATCACCTGCGTCAGTCGGTATGAGAGGGTCCCGTGACGCCTCTCGAGCCAATCCTCCATATCTACTTTGTACACCTAATATGGTTATAAGCGTTTATTGAATAAGTTCAATAAAGTTATTATTATTATTTGTCCTGGGTAGGAATCGACAACGCGACTTCTGGCTTAGCAGTCAGAGTCACTAACCACTAGGCCAACAGTCCTGTCGGCCAACACTCAATCAAATATTTGACTCGAGCAAGCATCGAAGTTGCGAACTTTGGCGTAGCTGTCCTTTACACAAACCACTGCGCTATCCGGCCGAAGTTACACAGTCATACAATTCAATTTGTTCAGACTGAACAAACAGTAAATCAATGTAGAGGACAGGTTGTTGTGGTGAACCTTGGGGAGGCCTAAGTCCAGCAGTGGGCGTTTTTCGGCTGAGATGATGATGGTGATAAAACTTTATCAATACTGTCATTAGCTAAGATTAGTGATTAGATTAATACAACACTTTTTATACGAAATAGACAATTTATTTAAATTAACATAATAATAATATTATATTAATAACTTAACACATCCCACACACGGCCGTCTGATACCAAACTAGGCAGAGCCCGCATAATGTTGTTTTTTTGTGCTAAGTGTTGTGGATTGGATCCCCATATGGGACAGCACTTTGTGTGGTCCATAAATTGTTGTTCTGAGTCTGGGTGTTCTTTGTGTCCGTTTCATGTATGTCTGTAAAGTCCCCCGTGACACCTGATTTATTCCTAGTGCGGGAGTTGTCTTTTAAAAAAAATTGTTAACCAGACTGCTCATAAACATACTTATATATTTCTAAATACATACATATTATAGATAAACTACACCCAGACACAGAACAAAAGATCATGCTCATCACACTATTATTTGTCCTGGATGAGAATGGAACCCACAACCTCTGATTAAGCAGTTAGGATCACTATTATACATATACAGATCAGTACTAGACCAACACCCCCGTCTGTCAGTCAGTCTCAATAATGTTTCATTTATTGTCTAAGCATTATTTTGCTAGTAGGGTAGTATTGTCAGGGCAAATGAATTAAATACTGTTGTTATATAATGTGTCACTATACATTAGTGTCATATTCTATAAGGCATCACTATACAAGTGTTATAAATGTCAAACAAGAAACAGATAATTATCATATAGTTTGACTAGTTTGTTACAGGAGATCATGACTGCCATGTTGTAGGTTCGGTCATTTCCTTCAGAGGTTCGATTCCCACCCAGAATAAATGCAACATGTGAAACTCTATCAACCTACTTATTACCTTTTCAACATGTTGTATTCTTAATGCTACTATCTGATTTAATTCTTTTGCTTCATCTTTACTGCTGAGGGTAGTTTTAGAGATAAGTGGTCTTATGAGGGTACTTTTTTTATCTTCTACCAAACATGACATGTCTTTACGTTCTCTGTCAGCTATCACCGCCTTGTTAGGAGGTAAACACTGTAAGTAATTAGAATCTTGTACTATCATAACATCGGTACCCCTTCCACCATATCCATCAGATATAAAATTGACCAATCCATCAAGCTTTTTGCTTCTTTGTAAAGGTTTTTCTAAAACATTACCAGTTTTGCGAGCATACTCTAAAAGTGCATCATTTACTAGTGCTAATCTTTGCCTTTTAACCACGCCCATTCTCTCAACTGGTGGTCGCATACTCCGTTTTCGACACAAGAATATGTGTGGCACAACCCCTTTCTTCAACCGTAGAGTACATTTTGCTCCTTGCTGTTTCATTATGTTGTATTGAACATAATTTGCTGTATCCTCCTTAATCTGAAATATATTTAGAATCATCAAAATTTTGTAAAAGCACAATGGGAAGACAGCTAAGTTAGGAATAAGTGAGTCTAGGTTTTTAGACAGAAAGTATTACTTACTAAACTTTTGTGACCTAGGCTAGATTAGATATGAACAAAGAAATTTACTGCTTAATATTTAATACTTTTGACTAATTCACGCTATTTATAAATATAACATACTTACGTTAAAATGATCTTCACAACAATATAAAGTTGATGTTGGTGACACTTTTTCCTTTCTCATAATTTTACACCATTGTTTACGTGCTTTCGCATCCCTTGGAATATTAAAAAACACTTTATCGGGTGTTTTTTTACTAGTGTTTTTGCACTCCGGTACGACACAATACTTGTAAGTAGATTTTTTAACTTCTTCCATACCTATATTGCAATTAAAACTGAAAATATGTATGAAATAACTGATACTCCTCTAGTAAATAAACACAGGACATGTCATGTGACGTAATCACGTAAACCAAACCAAAGCTCGCGCAAAATAGCGGCGTTGGAACAGCTGTTCAATGTTTTAACATTTGAAAAAATATTTAAATATTACCATGACTATTTCAATTTTTTTCTAAGCTATAAATTAATTTAACGTTTAAAAATTTTTCGATATATTATAAATATTGTTCCTTAAGATGGAATTTGCATATTAGATGTGCACATTCTGTATGGACGTTGGTTTTTTATTTCGAGTAAAATCTATTATGGTTTAAATTGCACTCCTATATAGCAGCTAAAATTAGAGATTGGGAATTAATTGGCAATTTTTAAATCATACATTTAAAATGATACTTAATGTTATTTTATGTTAGTAGAATTTTTATTGGAGGATGGCAATACTAAAAATAACATAAAATTGTTTTAAAGAGAAGATAACTTAATGCTAGGGAAGTGAATGCTAAAACTGACGTAGTCTATCAATTTCTCTTATATTTGTAGAAATCTCACAATTCTTTAGAGTATACTCAAAGTAAACATAAAAAATGAAAACAATACAAACTGTCAATACATGCATAAACGGAACCGTCATATTCAAATGTAACGAGTGACGCACCAGAGACAATTGTGACACTTTGTGTCATTTTTTATGGAAGAAGGGGCAAATAATCATACGGGTCACCTGATTCAAAATGTACTATCACTATCGCCGCCCATGAACGCAACTCAGGAGTCACAAGCGCGTTGCCGGCCTATGATGAAGGAGTACGCTATTTTCTTGAAGGTCGTATCGGTCGGTATCGGTTTAACAGTTCCTCATTTATTGTTTTTTGTTGGGTATTGGTAACAACAGGCACGCCGTTATTACGGCGATCAGACCCTTTATGGTGGATCGGCTCAAGAGGCAACATACACATTGCGAAGAAGATGGCAGAGGGGAACCAGGAGAGGTTAGAACTCTCTCGTTCCGGGAACGGGCCAGATACCGCAGACGACTCAGGCGCCGGAGGTCGCAGAACGACTTTAGTCCTCCATAATGCCTGGGGGCCTAGGCCTTGAGGCGACAGGTGAGGTCATCTGCCACTCTTGCAGAAACAGGCCGGATGGGCTAGAAGTAGAATACTAGGAAGTAGAATAGGTACACCGTGGTCCCCACACACGAGCTTGTCATCTACAAGCTGTAGATGGTACGCAACCTTAACCTGATCGAGCTGACCTGATTGCTTTGCTAACATTCCACAATCTATTTGAAGAGCGATTCGAATCGTTGATAACCCAAACATCTCAGATCGGATCGATCCCTTGGCGTTACGTAGAGATGTGGCTTCGCTCTGCATTCTCTATCGCATATTTCATGGAGAGTGTTCCTAGGAATTGTTCGGACTAATACCAGCCGCAACTTTCCGCCATAATTTTCATCCTCATCACCTGGATAGTTGGCGCTCCACTACTGTGCGCTTTTCGAGACACTTTTTTCCCGTACAACCAATCTGTGGAACGGGTTATCGTCTGCGCTATTTCCGACCTTTAAACCTTCAAGAAAAGAGCGTACTCCTCCCTAAAAGGCCGGCAACGCGTTTGTGACTCCTGAGTTGCGTTCATGGGCGGCGATGGTCACTTTCTATCATGTGACCTGTCTGCTCGTCTGCCCCCTCTAACATAAAGAAAAAAAATAAGCAATATCCCTTTCCTATCACTGCCGACCCTTCTAATTCTACCTTTTCTTTAAATGTACTTCCAACTTTCTAATGTAAGTTATGTGTGTTCATTAAGTGCTTAAGAAGGAACAAAATTATAGCTGTTAAGATGTGGGCGCCCTTGCGTGTGTGAATGTGTGTGTGTGCGCGTATAACAAATATTAACAGTAAAATATGTATTAGTAACTCACAGAACTCTTTGGTAAATTCCAGACTTCGATAGTGGGGTAGGCCCATTTGTGTAACTTGCGTTTTCTTCCTACGTCTTTAATTTTGAAATCATTAGCTTGAAAGTGCATTGAGCAAATTGTATTATATTTATTCGGACTCCAGTTCTTTTTTCCAGTTGCAAGAATCCATAACTTTCTTATAGATTGATATTGCGGGAATCTGAAATTATGATAATTTCTAAGTTATTGGGCAGTTGGAACGACAATTCCAGCCAATGCGCACACGACCTTCATCTACAAGATACGGCATCCCCGTATCGATATCCTCTTAAAGCTTCTGATGGCACCTATTCTAGACGGTCAGAGCCTCCACCCATGCCGGTGCGATTGACATTGTCACTGATCATACATCCTACGAGCTCCAGAAAGCTAGTAACGACGCAGAGACTATCAACCACCTTTCGAGGCAATGGGGGCTAAAAAAGTGTAGTGAGTAGAATATCAGCCCTACAATTAAAAAATTAAAATTGTATAGAATATTTTTTGCAATAGATAAGCGAAATTATAGTTGCCTTCAAAAGATTGGGTGTCCAAGAAAGAATGGATAATCCTGGAGAATGGATAATTCTTGTGTATTTATTTCCATTTAAAAAATTTAAGTTGATTTTTTTTTCCAAAAAGTACTATAGTTACTCATACTATTTACTGCATTTCTAATAAGATTGTCTGTGAGGAATAAGATAACGCCAAAAACGCAACAAATTTCATTAATTTGCGGCCGTGGTGTACAGGTAAGTACAGTAAGGACAACAAAAAAGTTTTTTTTTAAACTTCATAATTTGCGCACCAATTGTTTTTTTCTTTAGGTATTTTTTTTGTACGCCAGATAGCTGTACTATTAAGCGCTCCAGGATTATCCATTCTTCCTGGGACACCCTGCATAAATATCTCGTGTTACGGTGTTTGTGGTCGCACTCCACTGCCAAGGCTCGATCGATTTTAATGAGATTTATGGTTGGGAATGAGAATAAATCGTGAAGCATTTGTCACATTTTTCACTCCCATTTTTTTATATTTTTGTATGACGGCAGAACAACGTTTGCCGTATCAGATACGAGTAGTACAAATATATATGTTACAGTCAGAACAGACCTCTTAACCGGACAAAAATACTTTTAACCAGCAGGAGAAGTACATTCATCATAATAGTATGATGAATGTACTTCTACTGCTGGTTTTAACAGTAGGTTTTAATAGTAAAAGTAGATGATATCTGACGCGGCAGTCAGAACTACTGTTGCCTAATGCTGGTAAAAACACTTTTGAACGGTTAAGAGTTCTGACGGTAACGCCTATAATACCTAATTGTATGTAACGTAGAAATATTACTTACACATGATATGAAATTCCTCCATTTTTTATATTATCTGAAGAACTTTTATTTGAACAGTTCGAAACAGCGCAGTAAGGCATTTTTAGCTAAGTTTATTGATGTAAAATCGCCCTTAATTAAAAGCAGTTATTATAGCTCCTAAATATCCCTACTTAGTTAACAATACATTTGACAGAAAAATAAGCAATATTTTGCATAATGTTGGTACTCCTGCCACGCCCACTTTCATGTTTTTGTCTCACTCTGTTAATTCATACACAATCAATCAATACCTTTGACGTTTTTTATGAAAATAGCGTTCTTCAGTGTTGTCGACTCGATTTTTATAACACTCGCAGGAAACACTCAATGAGTCCCGAATCAAGATTTTCTACCTAATTAGGAGTTCTGGTAGTTTAGTTGCCACGGAACTGCCGTCGAAGTCAATTAGCTTCTTTTGTATTTTTCGTCACTATTATGGGGTGTAATGAATTTGTTTAGGTTCCTGGACAGGTAACATATATTATATTTTCATAAAGTCAGCTCATTTTTTTGCGAGTCTGGTAGGGTTTTTGAAAAACTGCTTACAGCCAGTTTTGCCAATCTATTGGATTTTCCACTAAAACTGGTGGTGTCGATTTAGTGGATTTTTTAGAGGTTTAGGAATAGTAGTCAGATTGTAGAGGACTTAGAAAATGCTGTTGAAAGATGAACAGTGAGAACCTAGAATACTTCAATAACGTTTGATAGAAAAGGAAGGATAGAGATTGGATAGAAATGCTCAGAAAGAGAACGATTATTAATTTTAGGCAATGGGATGATCTAGGCTTTGTACCAGTGAGAGGAAAAGGTTTCGGAGTCGAGAAAGAAGTCAATAATGTTGGCTATAACTTCGAGGACGTAATCTTAACTATCATTCATGAAAACCATTGCATTACAACAGTCAGACATGATGATTTTTCTGATGTCCCCAGAAGGCACAGGAGAAAATTCAAAGTTGGAAATATTGGTTCTAGGCAGACTAACGATGTAATTCAGGGTCCGACACTATGTTTAATGATCCGGTTGAGTAGTAGACGAGAATGAAGATTGATATCCTTCAAATCAATGAAACTCTGCCCGTTGTTATTAACCAATGCCCAACTTGTTAAGGAACCTCCACATACTAGAGGTATTACACTCTTTAAAGATGCCCAAGGGGCCAAGGGAAACATGAATGCCGCAATGGAACATAACTCAGGTGTGCCGAAGGTTGCAGGACGAACTCCGTTCTCCATAGGCGCAGGCCGGGGGGTAACGGGTGATGCCATCTGTCACCCTAGCGGAAGCAGGCTGGGGTGGCTGTAGAACGCGCGCCCCCTATCAAGAAAGGGGGTGATTTACACGGCGTAGATGGCCCGCAGTACGACGGGGTGTAAGCGATTTCCTTTCTAGGATACACCTGTTTCCTCTACTACTGGTACCTCAGACGGCATGCGGTTTTTGGTCGGTTCGAGTCCGACAGAACCAACCCACCAGAGGGTGGTATCCGAGAGGATTTCCGTTAAGAAAAAAAATATAGAAAAGGGGGCAAGGTACTTCGACATTTTTTTTATGGAATAGGGGCAAACGAACAGACTGGTCACCTGTTGAAAGGAGATTACCATCGTCCATGATTGCTTGCAACTCAGGAGTAACAAGCGGATTTGAGGAATTAGCAACCTTTGGTATAACTCTCTTAATACTGCTTAATTTCAATGTCGAGTTTGAGTTGAGAGACTATAGGTATAAACAGAGGAATAGAATGGAGTTCAATCTTTTATCTGCTTTGTTAAGAATGATACGCTGTAGTTTGAAGTTGGAAGGAAATTGCTGCGACAAATATGAAAGCCCAATATATGTTGTAAAACAAGGCGGTACCGAAGAATGGTATTCATCTGGAATTAACGATGATGATGCTGACAAACACGATTAGTATCAGTATTAAATTTTAAGTTATTAATATAATTATGGTTACTGTAGTTACTTAAAAAAAAGGTTTAGTGGAAAATTTTGTGCCTATTAGAGTTGGGTCGTTTTTCGTTAGTGATTTTCTGGTGGTTCTAGATGTTGAATCTAGTGGAGAGTTCATGTCAGTATTTGTAACTTAACCTCCTTTGGCAGTAAATAGCATTTTTATTGTTTTTCTTGGAAAGTTACATTGTTTCAAAGGAATATAAAATATTAAGTCTCTTTCAGTCAAGAACTCGCTGACAGACTTATGTTGAAAGAATTAATTGTATAGATACGCCTAAAATGACTAATATCGTGAATTATTTTATTTTTATTTTATTTAATTCTTTTTGCACAAACAACAAATCATTGTACAATGGCGGACTTAATGCCAAAGGCATTTTCTCCCAGTCTACCTTTGGGTGGTGGGGAAATGTCTGAGTAGGTGCATGAAATTAAAATTAGGTTACATACATACTGAGATACACATACATATATATACTTGCTGAGTTACATACATACATAAAGTACATACGTATATATACATATAACATATAAGACTTTAGGGATGTGATGAGTCTGCTAGAGTGTCGAGAATTCGAGCTCGGACTTTCGTCTTAAATGAGAGGCGACTGGGTGCTATCCTGATTTCCAATGGCAGAGCGTTCCAGAGGAGGACGGATTGGATTAAGAACGAAGAGTGGACACATGCGGAAGTATGAGTGGGGCATAACAGAAGTGGATTGTTTAATGAACGGAGAGTTCTGTTGTGATTGGCACGTAGAAAATGAAATGAGGATGTTAGGTAGGAAGGGGAAATAGGTGAGTTGAGTATGGAATAGAGGGTGGTGAGGGCGTGCAGCTGACGGCGCTGACGAATCGTGAGCCAGTTCAATACACGACGAGAGGAGGAAACATGGTCGTATTTGCGAAGGTTAAAGACGAATCGAATGCAGTTATTCAGAAGGCGGTCGTATTTATTGAGGAGATCTGCATTCAGGTCATGATAGCATACATCACCATAATCCAAGATAGAGACAATAAGTGTCTGTACTAGTATCGCTTTTGTCTCGGAAGGAAGGAAGTTTTTAAGCCGATAGAAGGCTCGTAGCGTACCTGTGACTCTCTGGCTAACGCTGGTGACCTGGGTTTGCCAGCTGAGCTTAGAGTCGATAAATAGGCCTAGGTTCTTGACAGAGGGACTGAAGGGAATGACTGTGCCGTTATAAGTAATGGGTGGCAGTTTGTTTTGATCCATCCTTCCAGTCATGCGCTGATGATGATGATGGCTTGGCATTTCGCTGGATTCACTGCCAAACCAAACCCATAAGCCCAACTGCTAATCCTCCTCTAGGTCATTGTTAACCATAGAAATGGCCCCATTTATGTCGTCTGTCGAGGCTTGATAATAGAGTTGCAAGTCATCGGCATAACGATGGTACACACTTGAAGATTCGGGGTGATGAGGTTGATAAATATTGAGAATAATAGAGGATCGTCACGGACAGACTGCTGGCGACCCTGAAGATATGAGGAAAACCATTCCAGAGTATCACGCGCAATCATAAGATAGGAAAGGATAGATTTAAGGATATCGTGACACGGTGTTGAAGGCATTTGAGAAATCGACCAAGGCCAAGATAGTAACTTTGGATTTCTCAATTCCTGCTCGGATGTCGCCGGTCACTTTTAGCAGTGCGGAAGTAGTGCTATGCCCGGGCCTGAACCCTGATTAGAAAGGGCTTAGTAAGTTGTTGCGTTAAATATGTTGGGACAGTTGTTCGTTCACACAGGCCTCGAGGACTTTAAACAGGAAGGGAAGAATGAAGATTGGTCGTAGGTGATTCAGGAGTGTTGGATTCGGGATCTTGGGAAGGGGTATGACAAACGCCTTACGCCACGATGTGGGATAAGTTCCTGAGTCAAGAGAAAAAATGGTTATATGCGTAAGCACGGGAAGAAGGTGATCGATGATAGGGATGATCATGCGACGGTTAATGTTATCACATCCCATGGCGTTGGATTTGATTGAAAGGATTGTCTTTTTGACTACACCTGGTTCCACTGGAGAAAACTGAAAAGCTTCAAAATTGGGACGGGGTAGGTCCGCCAAGAACTGTAACGTCTGACACTTGATTTGGTGATCCAACTGCACTGATGAGGAGAAATGACGGAATTTCATCCAAATCAAAGGTCGAAGGAAGGTTACATTTTTCGGATTTGCCGATACCTAGGGTTCCAAGGAACCTCCAGATACCGGAAGCAGATGTACAATTCAGATTTTTGAGAATATGGCAGCATTTAGCGTTACGCACCATCAGATTACAACGATTTCTCGCAACTCTATAAATGGCCCAGTTTTCGTCACAGCGGTCCCTCTTAAATTTACAAAATGCCTTATCTCTGCGACGCATTGCCTCTCGAACACCTACGGTTATCTAGTGGGCCGGAGGACGCTTTAATTTAATCTTCGTGACTGGGGCGTGTTGATCGTAAAGGTTTGTTAAGATGGTATTGACAAAGTTAACTTGTTCAATACCATCTTAACATCTACAGTAGTGGCCTCCAGCACTGGTTTCCAATTTAATTTGGAGGCATCATATCGAAGTTTGTCGTCATCCATCCTTCCGAGACAGCGAACGTGTAGTACCTCAGGACAGGGTTTGGAGGTTTTAAGGAGTAGGACACGTAGATGAAGTCATGGTGCGAAAAACCAGGGGCAGAGTGTTGACCATAATTGCGGACGAGGCAGGGAGAGGAGGTGATGATAAGGTCCAGCCAGGTGTCGGGTCCATAGGCGTTGTGATGAGTGGCTGACAACGGAAGTATGTGCAAACTAGCTGATTCTATAACCCTGGAGAGTTTACGGGAACGTGAGGAGTTGGAGGCAAGGAGGTCGGTGTTAAAATCGCCCATAATGATATGATGTGTATGCTCAGACCCTAAAGATTTCAGAATCGATTCGAGACTGGAGAAGTAGTCAACGTTGGGGGGACAATAAACTAATCCCAGCACTGCTTTTGCTCCCTTGGAGCGAACCTCAAGAAAAAGGTATTCAACAGAAGCAGTGCTGATCGATGTGGAAGAGGTTAAGACTTTGTATGAAAAAGAGCTGCGAAGGTAAATGTCAACACCCCCACCTCTCTTATCAGTTTTGTCATTACGTATGAGAATATAGCCAGGAAGGGAGTATGCGGTAGACAACAGGTGAGGTTTGAACCAAGTCTCAGAAACCAGAATAGCATGTAATTCGGAGTCGGAGAAAGCCTCAACTAGATCGGAGTAGTGGCTGTGAATACTCTGAGCGTTAATGTGACAAGCGTTCACATGACACAAAGATTGATTGTTGAACGTCCGTCGTACAAAGTCGCCAAGAGTAGAGGTCAAGGAGCAGAAGCTGTCGGCACTTGAGACGCTAGCAGAGTCATACGCAGACTGAAACGAATCATCGTCAGAAATCATGAAATGAATAATGACACAGTAATATTAAAAAAAAAACTAATTAAACAATATATATATATCCCTATAGCTATATAAAATATATGTAGGTTATGTAATAAAACATATAAAATAAATAAATATTGTACATATATTTCTCTAATAAAATGAAAAAGTTATTTATATATAAATAGTAGGTCGTTAAATTAATTATAAGCTAAATAAACTATACTTAAAACTTGCTTTAGCAGCTCAATATATCTACACCACCCGCCAGCTTTGAAAATTAGGCTTTGAGAATTACGTAGACAGACGTAGGTACATTAAGAGCATGAAAGAGACAAAACATTTCGATTAACTATGCTAAACAACGCAATGAATGGGCTGTGTGTCACAATTAGTGCGTGAAACTAAACACCGCAAGTTGTAAACATTCAACAATTTTGACAAGTTGTAATATTGTGATAAAGTTAGTATTTAAATATTTGTTATTGATTAATCAGTTTTGAAAATGGAAGCTGAAAAAAATGAATAATGACATGGCCCACTTAAAAAAAAGAATTAATTGCTGACGTAATATTATTATTGATTAAAACTCATGATTATGAATAAAAAGATGTGTTTTTGCGTTACCAAGTGTTAATACAAAGAATTATTTACTAGCCCACCATATAAAGAATTCTTCGTAGCTGTTTTTTACCGTGAAAACAATAGGTATCGCGTCACATAGTGAGTGGTGAAAATGAATCGTTCAGACACAAAATCAAGTAAGTAAGATAATATTCATTGGTCTACAGACATTCGCAGTTTTAGTGTCAGTAGTAATATAGTGCTGCTGTAATTCACTTCACCTATTACACTCCTCCCAACACACATATGGCTAATGGTTCTGTCATCCCTTGCTTTAAGTATATTATTATAATTGTAATAAATTTTTGTATGTTATGTATAGTTTTAAGTAAGTGAGTAATCCTAAAGAAGGGTCAGAGAACCTGTAATATAGGCTTTTATGAAACCTACACCAAGCACCTGCCTCGCACCCAAACCTTAGTATGTAAGAGAGAGGTATTTCACATATAATTCTTGTAAAATGTAGACTGTAAGTCATAAAAATACACGGGTCTATAGATTTGAAAGGAATTAAAAAGTATCATCAATCAATCATTCATCCCATGGGTGTTGTAAGAGTTGATTAAGGGATCTAACTCTGCAGGACAACGGCATTGCAAAGAGAAGGAAAACATGACACAAACCCTATACCAACATGCCTCAGAGAGGTTATGTCCAGCAGTAGACTATTAAGGGCAGTCGATGATGCTGATATCTTATAACCTCTAGTGCCCCTCTATGATAAGGCATTACCATTTTTAACCCACTTCCAAAAAAGGAGGAGGTTCTCAATTTAACTGTATTTTTTACTTACTACTATTTTTGTACTCCCTTTGGCCGCCATCGAAACTGATGGTTCATAACCATTTGAGGACTAGGAAAAAATGATCTTTGTGCGAATCCAGGTTCGAACCAGTATTTTTTGTTATTTTTTCCTTGTTAATAGGTTTTTTTATATAAATAGGTAACCACCTTCACGGTAAAAACATTAAAGACAGATATTATTAGACATTTGACACAAATAAATAATTATCAGTGGTCAGTGGTATCAGTGGTCAAACATGATTCATAAAATATTATGAATCATAAATTTCTGTATTTAAGATTAGTAATAAAGAGCAATATTTCCTCCCTTCGTAAAAAAAAACTGGTTCAAAATTGGTTTCGGACAAATATCATTTTTTCCTTCTCAACTGGTTATGAACCATCGGTTTTGATGGCCGCTGAAGGGTATGTACTTACTATTATTGTAGCTAGTACTGTGCGGGATGTCTGGACAGGGTATCCGGTTGAGAAAAAGGATTGGCAGTACTTTATCTATGTTATGTGGATCCTGAACAAATCTTTTACATAATTTACCTTAGTAAAGTTATATTTATTTGATACAATTTGATGTAGAGAATTACTATTATAATTAACAACTGTAAGGTATATTTATAGTAATTTCATTATCATCATAAACAGCCTCCTCACAGTCCACTGTTGGACATAGGCCTCTTCTTAAGAAGGAGGTTATTGCCTACTTTACCACGCTTGCCAGAAGGTGGGATATAGAGTTTGTGTTCTGTTTTCCTTCTCCTGACAGTGCTGTTGTCCTGCATAGTTTGCTTCCTTAGTCCTCTCTTTAACGACACCCATGGCATGAGTAGGGGTGGTGATCCGTATTCTTAATAAACCTAACTTCAGTTGTTCAATGAGTTGGATAAACCGTTTTAAAGTAAGACACAACATCGTCGCTTGGTAAGGTTGCTGGTGAGTCTTTGTCAGTTCAATAGAGTGATGTAAGCAATTAGTTAGAAATTGTTTGCCCTCTCTCCGGTTAGTACGACGAAGTTTCGCCGGTCCGTTGAGGGCCGTTACATCCGGATTTAACTGTACTTTTAATCTAGAAAAATATACTTAAAGAAAAAGCAATAATATAAATATGAGTTGAAAATACTTAAATGTACCTAAACATCTGGTTTAAAACGTGACATTAGTTTTTGAGACACTACACCACCTGACCTTAAACTTTACAAAGCTAGATTGACTGAATAAATACTAATATTAATTTATTTTCTAAATCCGTATATAATATATATAGAAAACACACAAACTGCGAAACAAACATTTTCAGTAGTACAAACATTTTGTCCTAATCGGAAATCGAACCCGAGACCTCTGCACAGCAGTCGCATATGCTACCACTGCACCATCGCAGTCACCGCAATCCATGAATTATACACTGCAAAAATGACTCAATGCAACTTAAAAGCATTCACTTTAAAATTAATACCCTGTAAATGATATCCACTTAAATTTTATCGCTTTTGGAGTATCACTAATTCAATATACATTACTACAGAATAAGTTGAAGTTACTAATAAGTATTTACATACAATACATAGTACGCCACATTTTTCAGGGACTTGACTTGAGTTCATAAACTAACATAAAACATGGCGAACACAATAATAAATTAATTCAAAGCCCTATTTTGCGGAAACATACGAAACAATAGAACTTACCGATGTTAATTTAATTTAGATCATACTTTGCGATTTCTACACACTTTTATCACACAAATCGTCATAATGACACAAAATATGGAAGAACGTGAACATTTCCAGTGACAGTACTTTTTATACCAAACGCGAAAAAAGCATTTACAGGCCAACAGTTGGACGCTATTTTTTCCTCTTTTATCACATCTACGAGGGTGGTCTGCAAGGTTTCCGACCTAACAAAGATACAAGACTTTTTTCAGATTTTTTTTATATTTTTCAACATAGTCTCCTTGTAACTCTACACACTTCTCCCAGCGATGCTCCTTTGATTGCTGAAACTTTGGCGAGTAACTGTCAACAGATGAACAATGAAATTCACTAGCTTTTATTCACGAGTGCTGCCATCTTTGTGTTGAGGTCGAAATTTTTTCAGACCACCCTGCTATGACTTATCTAGACATATTAATAATCTAAGCATTTTTCATTGCTGCTTACCTTCTATTATTCATATTGTTATTTATAACCTTCCTCGATAAATGCGCTGTGCAAAATTAAAATTATTTTTTAATTGAATCCAGTAATTACTAAGATTAGAACACTCAACCAACCAAACAAACAAACTCAACAGTTTTATGATATTAGTATAGAAATTAATATATAATTTATCTATTATTGTATGGTTTAACCCGAACATAGACTCGTGGTATTTCTAAAAATAAATTTAGAAATATAAAGTATGTATAATGTTATGTATATACATATTGTAGATAAATTACTCCCAGAAATAGAAGAAATGATTGTGCTCATCACACAATTAAGTATTTAACCTGCGTGGGAATCGAAACGACAACCTACGGCATAGCAGTCATAGTCAATAAGCACTAGACCCACACCCCAACCATCATTGTTTAATTTTGCTAAAAAATCAATATTTTTTTTCAGAAGCAAAAAAACAGAAAAATAAAACTGGTGAAGATGTTGATACTATCATACCTAAAATACTAGCAAGAAGGACGTCTATATCAGAAGCGCCGGAACACAGTACTTCAAATAAAAAGCCTGCAAAAACCAAAAACGTTGACAATAATCAAAGCCACAACCAAAGAGGGGTGTTTACCAAAGAACAAGAGGTCGCACTGAGGAACCACATCATTAAATGTTGTCAAACACAATATGGCGTCAATAATACTACTATACGGAAGATAATTTATGAATATGCAAAAAAAATACCTAACTGTGTATATCCCAAGGGATGGGACAACATGGAAATGGCGTGTATGCATTGGTTTCTCAAGTTCAGGGGTCGGCACCCAGGCTTAAAGAAATCCTTGACAAAGAAACTTCAACATACTTGCATTTGTATTATGGTAAGTAATATAGTAGTAAATAAACTGACTGCCCGCATGGCGTAGTAGTTTCAGTGGTCGCCACGATTCCTATTATGCTGAGTGGTGTAGGTTCGATCCCCACATGGGACGACTTTGTATTATCACCGTGATGAGCGGGTAGATGTAAAAAAAAACCTAGGGCCTCTGTTTTACACCGTTTCTGTTAGGATATGTTATCAGTCCAGTCGAGGCGGCACAAATGTGCCAAATCATGCTTCTTCCACAGAAAAAACTTACTTTTAGGGTGGACTCAAAAGAGTCTCTTACAGAAATTATAGAGCTGGTTTAAAGAAGTGTAAAACTTCAATCTGAAAGTCAACCGTAACACCTTATTCTTCTGTATTCTGATACAAATAAACATGTGGAAGTATTATTATATATAGATCGAACATAGGCTACATGGACGTCGTAGTAGTTTAGGCGGTCGCTACGCCGCTTCCTACTGCGTTGAGTGTTGTGAGTTCGATCCCCACATGGGATAACACTTTGTGTGATCCATAAATTGTTGCTCTGAGTGCTCCTTGTGTCCGTTTAATGTATGTTTGTAAAGTCTCCCGCGACTCAGGATATGTATTCCTGATTGGGAAGTTGTCTTCTTAAAAAAAATATTATAACATTATAATTACATTTCAGGGTTGCCACATGGGACGACGAGAAGGCAAACAGGCGCTAAAAAAACTAGAGGTAATATTTATTTTAGATCTCTCTTGGATATTTAAGTGTTTTTATGATGATATATATAGATATATATACTACTACTACTAGCTGAACCGGCAAACGTTATTTTGCCATATACATAATTTAAAAAAAAATTGTCAAAAATAATAATTTGGTGTATGAAAAATAGATGTTGGCGATTCTCAGACCTACTCGACATGCACACAAAATTTCATGAAAATCGGTCGAGCCGTTTCGCAGGAGAATTTATGTATTAGATAATTAAATATATATACATATATAGAAAATAAAAAAAATATGGTCCAATGACGCATAACATATTTGATATGGCTACATAGTTTTTATAGGAAGGTAGAAGTTGTAGAAGTGGCAGAAATTTGTAAATAATTGGAATAACTGTAAGTCGTGTATTAATATTATAGATCCTATAAAGTTAAAAGTTATGTAACAATGGTCATATCAACGTATAGGGGCACAATATACGTTTTGAACTGTCACAGTATCTATAAAAGAAAAAATTGACAGACTGATACACTCACTGATCCACTTACTGGTCGATCAACGCACAACTGACACCGCTCGGTCTAGAAACGGTCATCGTCGAGTGGCACGCTAGGAGGGAATTGAGTCCCGCCTGTCACTACAGCTATTTAGACTTGGAGTGAATTGGAAGAACAGTCCTAACGCTTGTACCCGACTGATTCATCATCATCTGCCTACCTTTTTCCCAATTTTATTTGGGGTCGGCGCAGTATGTATGATTTTTCCATTCTACTCTGTCATGCGTCATCTCACTGTTTACTCCCTTCCTAGCCATATCCTCCCTCACGCAGTCCATCCACCTTTTCTTCGGTCTGCCTCTTCTCTTGTACCCTTCAACTCCCATACCTAAAACTTTCTTCGCCACATTTCCTCATCCCTCCGCATGACATGTCCATACCAAGATAACCTATTACTTCTTAACTTTTCATCCAGTGGCGCTACTTTCAGACTCCCTCGTATATACTCATTCCTAACCTTGTCCATCTGAGTCACACCACACATCCATCTCAGCATTCTCATTTCGGCTACGGTCAGGCGTCTCTCATCCGTTCTCTTAACGGGCCAACTTTCAGAACCATACAGAACGGCAGGTCTGATAATAGTTTTATAAATTTGTCCCTTCAGTATTAAGGGGAAACTGGGGTCACAAGATGTTCCCGTTACCTGCCGCCACTTCATCCATCCCGTATTGATTCGATGCTGTACAGTTCGATCAATCTCACTATCACATTGTAAGAGGGAGCCGAGGTACTTGAAATTGGAGCAGACTGTTATCGCTATCCCATCCAGCGAAATGGTTTCAGGACTGGAGAGACCGCCGAAATCGCAGAACATGTACTCAGTTTTGGTTCTGCTGATTTTCAAGCCAACATTCTCCAGCCTTTGTTGCCATTTTTCCAGTCTGCTCTGGACCTCAACCCCATCCTCACCGACCAACACAATGTCATCTGCAAATAGCATGCACCAAAGTGCCTCCTCCTGTATGTCCGATGTCAGAGCATCCATTATCAACAGGAAGAGGTATGGGCTCAGAGCTGATCCCTGGTGCAAGCCTACAGAGACACTGAATTGATCAGTGTTTCCCGTGACCGACCTTACATGAGTGCTAGACTCTCTGTACATAGCACGAATCAATTCTACATACTTAACAGGCACTCTTTCTTCTTTCAAAGCCCACCACAAAACCTCTCGGGGTACCCTATCATATGCCTTTTTGAGATCCACAAACACTATATGCAAGTTTTTGTGCGCACTCCTGTATTTCTCACATAGTTGGCGCATTGCAAATATAGCATCTGTTGTCCCGCGTCCTGGCATAAACCCAAATTGACTTTGGGTTATCTGACTCTCATCTCTGATTCTTCTCTCAATCACTTTCTCCCAGACTTTCATAGTATGTGACATGAGCTTTATTCCTCGATAGTTGTTGCATTCCTGAACATCTCCTTTATTTTCGAAAATGGGTACGAGTTGGGTTTGACACCATTCCTTTGGGATTACCTCTTCAAGCAACAACATATTGAAGAATAGAGTCAGCCACTCATATCCGTCTTCTTTCAGTAGCTTCCAAACTTCCACTGGTATACCGTCGGGGCCAACTGCTTTTCTATTTTTCATACTTCGTACTGCTAATCTAACTTTATCTATACTAATCTCGTTCACCAGTCCGACATTCACATCCACATGCTTTAGCACTCCGCTCCATTTATTCTCTTCATTCATAAGTTTTTCAAAGTAAGTTTTCCATCGTTTTTTTATATCTTCATCTTTAACCAACACTCTCCCCTCTTTATCTTTTATACATCTCACATGCTTCAGGTCTTTTGCTCTTTCTTCCCTGTTCTTTGTAATGCGGTAGAGTTCTTTTTGACCTCTAGGTTCATGTAGGTGTTTAAATATGTTATATTGAGCTTCAGCTCTGGCTACCGCTACCGCTTTTTTTGCCTTTTTCTTCCACTCTTTATATTCATTCATTTTGACTTCCTTCATTCTCTCACAGACCTTTACATTTTTCCACGCTTTAAAGGCATCCTTCTTTTCTTTTAGAGCTATCTGTACCTCGTCACTCCACCACCATGTCTCTCTGTCAATAATGGCTTTTCCTTTTGTTTCCCCAAGTACTTCTCTCGCTATCTTTCGTATATAATTTGCCATTTCACTCCACCATCCATCCACAGACTTATCAAGCCTTGCATTCATTTCAATCATTTTTTCTACCGCCTTTCCTTAAAGTTACTTGCATACTCTTCTTTCTCTAACATTCGCCACCTGATTCTTGGAGAAGGTCGGTTCTTCCTACTCTTACTTAAACTCCTCCATTTGACCTCCATCACCAGCAATCTATGTTGCGATACTACGGGTTCCTCGGGCACCACTTTGCAGTCTCGGACACAAACCAACTTACTTCTTTTTATGAGAAAGTAGTCGATCTGTGTCGCGTGGCTACCACTTTTATACGTGACCAGATGTTCGTGACGTTTTTGGAACCATGTGTTAACTATTGCTAGGTCAAACGAAGAGGAAAACTGGAGCAGAGACTCACCATCAATGTTTCTACTTCCGAACCCCCTTCCTCCATGTACTCTTTCATAATCCTCATTCGTTGTTCCCACATGACCATTAAAATCTCCACCTATCAAAAGTTCTTTACTTTCAGGGATACCTATCAAAACCATGTAAAAATCGGCCCAAAATTTTTCTTTCACTTCTTCCTTGCATCCAATTTGAGGTACATACACGCTAACAATATTTATAATTACGCTCTCAAATACTAATTTTAGTACTATTATTCTATCGTTCACTCTCTTTATAGATAGTTCAACTCAGTTGTGCGCGCGGCCCTATGTGTGCATGGGCTTGTAAATATACAACTTTCATTCGTGTGCTGCTCGGACGACGACTGCCGCGTCACTGCCACACGAATGAAAGTTGTATATTTACAAGCCCACGCACACATAGGGCCGCGCGCACAACTGAGTTGAACTATCTATACATCCGTCACACACTCTTTCAGGGCACTATCCAATACTACACCCACTCCATTTCTCTTCCCATCACTTCCACAGTAATAAAACTTGTACCCCTCTCCTATCTCTCTTGCTTTCGTACCCTTCCATTTTGTTTCTTGCAAGCATGCCACGTTTATTCTTCTTCTTTTCAACACATCTGCTAGCTCTCTAGCTCTTCCAGTCATAGTCCCTACATTCCAACTTGCATTTGCATTGCAACTTTGATTTTATGGCCGCCTGCCTGTCACCAACCCTCCTTGGGAATGTAGTCGTTTATACGATAGGGAAGGGAAAAAAGGAAACATCGGGGTGAGAGGATTGGATGACAGAGGAAAATTAGGGTGGGAGAATACCGCAGTACTAGGGTGGGAGACAGGACTTAGACTGCGGTATGTACCAATATCCAGCGGTTGGAGAGGCCACCAGGACAAGTACCGCACGAACTGTATATATTCTGTCTGATGATAAACAGTCCAAAGATGTACCCGACTGATTATTTATATATTTTATTAAATTTATGTAGGTTTATGTATGTATGTTATGTGTGTTTATATATTGTGTATGTCTCTGGACTTTAATTATGCCTTCTGGCGGTGCCACGCGCACGCACTAACTTACTGCGCGAGGCACCTTTGACACGCGCGCTGCGCACACTCAACCTCATAGCTGACGATGTGGATATATTTTGTTGTTCTTTGAGTGAATTCACAATTATAGCACTAAGTAAAATTTGTTACTTTAGTTTGTAATTTAGTTTAGTTTAGCTTAAATTTAATTAATGTAACTACAATATCGCATTGGAAAAAATCTGTAAAGATATTGTAAGAAAAAGTAAAAAAAAATAAAAAAAATATATTTTATTTTGCACCTACCGCATCATATTTCTACATCACCTGAAGGTTGACTGGGAGAGAATGCCTAATGGCATTAAGCCCGCCTTTGTACAACATGTGCATTAAGTTTTAAATAAATAAATAAACCCTATCAAACGGTGTAAGAAATTTACCTACATACATACATACACTGGTAAAATAATTGGTCAATATCGAAGTTCCGTAGATAGACTGTTGTAGGACTTTTTAGGGCTCAAACTACCCGTAACTATTGCCACAGATGTTCGTGCGGCAACCGGGACCAATGTGCCAAGAACGGTCGCCCATCCATGGCCTGACCTGGCTAGGATTGCTTAGCTTTGCAATGTGTTACCACTAGACCTTTCATATATGTAAGTTAACCAAATTATTTTCGTTCTCCAGGCTGGAGTGCTTATAGCCAGAGTATACCACTATCTCTACAGGGAGTATGAGTATATGAAAATGTGCAACGACCTGAGCTTGCTGGTGAACATCCTCAGGCGTACAGCCGAGGCGACTGGCGTCTGCGAACAGACCATCACCAAGATTCTGGAGGAGGAGAAGCGTAACACAATGGAGTTAAATAATATCATACCTGGCTCAGCCAAGAGGAAGAGGAAAGCAACTGTTGCGGACGAACACAGTTATAGTTGTAATAAAGAGGGGTTTGTCTGCATCTTTTTAATTTACCAACTTCAAAAAAAGAAACTATGGGTCCATGTCTATGGTGGGTTAAGGAAGATTGTCAGCCTTGAAGATTGACTTTAAAAGAGATGAAAATCCCTTAATTTGTTTCGTCCATTCTCCTCAGTGTTAGTCCAGTTAGGAAAGGCCGAACTCATCTGCTCTAAGATATTTAAACATGTAAAAGTAGAACACTTTTAACGTAACCTATTTGCAGAATAAACGATTTCATTGACATATGAGTATTATGGCCATAGATCATTACACTCGACCAGCACCACCTCGACTCGGTGTCCGCTCGTTGTCGACGGCTGGTCCAGGTCCAGAAAAGGATACGATAGACACGTTTGGAGAGGAGCGGTGTGCAGCCGAAGCATCGCTCTCCTCGCGTGATCAATTTGCTTCGGAGTAGATGTAGAGAGCGTTTACCGATAGTACTCCATACTAACCGCTCGAGGCGAGACGGTGCTGGTCGGAGCTTATGACCTTTAAAGCAAAAAGTCTTTAAAATTTTAAATATTAATTTTATTCATTAAATATAATAATATTTTCTGACACAACGCCATCTGATGATGATGCCCTCCCAAACGTATCCGTATTATGTATAACCTGAGACCTCAGTACAGCAGTCGCATTTGCTACCACTGCACCACCGAGCCAATTTTCTGTGGCTGTCTTTGGCTTCTAACTCTATTTATATTTAGACATGGGAGACCCGAGCTTTGCCTCAACCGGAGGAATACAACGGCCTCACAGAAAACCGGTGTTAGCATTTATTTCGTTGCATTTCACCGAGTGAGAGAGATTACTGTAGGTCACTACCCCCCCCCCCCCCCCGTTTCCTGACTCTTGGGAGGGGGAGGTGTTGCAGACGATAGTGGTAGCTATAATTATTTTTCTCTTACTTCTGCCTTTGTTGATAATAATACTGTGTATCTTCTGTTTATATAAATGTTTCTTTTTTCTGCCCAGTTCCAATGTGGAAGCGGTTGACGAAGATTCCAGTAGTTCTAACAACGTACTATTTTCTGACTTTGAGTAAGTATGACGTAATATATCTATCATTTTTTTCCATGCGGCAACACATAGATGCGAAATAAAATTACACGAAGTATAGATAACGCTTTAAATAAATAGCGACTCTATCCACAAAGGAATAAAGTTCAAATAAAGTATTTTATATTTCTATTACACCACAGCTACCCGTGCATTCGTCTATTTACAGTCGATTTGTCCATCCAAAGGTTGTCTGTAATGGTGTGAACTGACTTCAAAAACACAAAAGAGGAGGTTGTCAATTAGACTGTGTTTTTTTATTTTTTTTATATGATATAATTAGGCGTGATATAATTGACGTGTAATCCTAGACATATCATCATCATCAACAGCTTTTACTGGTCCACTGCTGGACATAAGCATCTCATTAGAAAAGAGGTTTTGGCCTACTACATCAATATATACTAGATTTCTAGTCTAGACATATACTAGATTTGAAAAAACTAACTGTCGTTATGTGTTACAGACGCCTCCAGCAAGGTGCGACGTCAATCAAATCTGTGATGGTGGAAATTTTGGACGAAGATATTGAGGAGTAAGTAGTCTTTATGACTTCAAAAGTTGGTAGTAATGGGGTAACCTTATCAGTTTTAGGGTGTGTAGGAAACAAAAACATACTATAGTGCCATCTACCGAAGACACACCTAACTACGGAGTAACTGCTAATCCTGTATCGCGATATAATTATTCTCACGCCGATTAGCATATATACAACTCCCCAACATTAACCGTTGGGTGTCGGCCCGCCAGGCATGATCACCTAGCCTGGTCGGATGATCTCCCTTTGTGTTGGAGGGACATGACTCCCTTTCCTCCACAGTGTACACAACTAATCTCAGACAATTGAGAAAACCTCAAAATGGATTGTATATTATTTGCACATTATTGCATATTAATGAAGAGCGAGAAAGTAGTAGAAGAGTCGAAGGGTCGTAGCAATATTTGAGAAAGAGTGTTAGGAAATAATAAAATTAACGTGGACTTATGAATGATTTATAGCTATAAGTTATAATAAAGATTATAATATCTTGCGATGTTTTATATATGTTAACAGAGAACAACATTTTTCAATTGGTCCTTCGAGCTCGGCTCGTTGTACTATTTAACGTTTGTCTTTGCAATCCACTTTGAAGGCTGACTATTAGTGTTTATTTTAGACAAAATGCCAAAAAGAAACACTGAGGCAAGAATAATGAGGAAAGATTCGATCGAAGGTGAATCAAACGAGTGAGTTCCATTCCACCACCAGTTTTGTCCGCGTTTACATTCTCTCCTCCTTTCGACTTCACCAAGACCCATGGTTATGCCACCAGAATTGACATGGTTACCTCAACTATGACTTTCAAATGACTGCACGGACGTCGTAGTGGTTTAAGCGGTCCCTTGCTGCTTCCCACTAAAACAAAATAAATGATCGTGCTCATCACACAATTAGAATAGAATAGAATAGAATAGAATACCAGTTTATTGATTTCAGCATTACAGCAATTTTGTAGAAATATACAGAAAAACTATAATACCGAAAGCAAAAGGTCTAAGCGTCAGCTTATGCTTGGACTTCACATGGATTACCAAGCGCTGGTTTTCAGCTTAAACCTTTGACTCCCGTTTACAAAAAACATATAAATAACTTACTGATAAAACATTTAGATAATTTCTTCGTGATCACACATTACCGGAGGTGTTAAAAATACAAATAATGTATATTAGTTTAAGCACAATGAGTATGGGCAGTGGGGAAAGGGCATTTATTACATAGATGTTATAAGGAGTGTAAATTAATTAAGTACATCTTAATACATAATTTTGTACAATACATAATATTATAATTTAATCAATGTATATCTAAAGTAGTCGAGTATTATGTTTTTGAATTTCACTTATAAATTGTTTACATTTATTTTTAAAGCTGACTGTGTTCTTTATAGATCGAAAAGGAGGTGGTATATTGTTCCAAATCTTTGATGCAGCGTATTTGAAACTGCCTTTATAACCCTGTGTTCTATGTTTCGGTATGATAAGTTTTAAAATTACCTGAGACCTAGTATTCAAGTTGTGCGCGTCCGCACACCAAGATAACTTATCGTATAGGTATAGTGGACATTTGCTTGTGATTATCTTATGTGTGAAACATAACAAATGTTGGTGACGTCGTGATTGCATATTAAGTTGTCTCTTTTCATTTATAATTGGGGAGATGTGCGACCATTTAGGGACTTTATAACAGAAGCGTATACAGGCGTTTTGGACACGTTGAATGCATTTTTTGGTATTTTGACGAAGCCGGGGTCCATATACAACATCACAATAGTTGAAAGATGAAAGAACCAACAGATCTGTGAGTAACTTCCTTACGTGCTCGGAGAGAAATTCTCGAATACCATATAAGACCTTAAGCCTGTAGAAGGCATTCCTCATCAGATTATTAATATGTTCTGAAAACCGTAGCTCTTAATCCATTAAGAGCCCCAAATTCCTTGCAACAGAAACTCTTTCAAGTACTTCCCCATTAAGTCTTATGGGTATACCGTCTGCACTCTTTATTTGATGCTTGGTACCCATCAACATCCATTTTGTTTTCGAAGCGTTAAGCACTAAAGTATTTTTCTTAGACCAATCAAGGATTCGCTCCAAGTCACTTGATATGTGATCTATGGCCTGGCTGGTATCGGAGGGTCTAAATGAGATATACATTTGCGTATCGTCCGCATATAGATGAACCTTACAGTATTATAAAATGTTTGGTAGATCAGCTGTAAATACTACAAAGAGTAAAGGACTTAAAATAGAGCCTTGCGGGACTCCTCTTACGGTGGGCAGCATTTTCGACTTAACGTTATTGCCCTGGCCATCATCTGTAATCACCTGTTGGTACCTGTTTGTGAGGTAAGATCTGAACCAACAGGAACTTTCTGTAGACATTCCATAATGAATTAACTTGGCAAGAAGGAGTTCTCTATGTAAGCAATCGAAAACCCTAGAAAAGTCTAACAACACTAGAATTGTACTTTTACCAGCATCTGACTCAGATAGTATGTCATCTGTAACTTGAGTCAGAGCCGTTGCAGTTCCATGTCCTGAGCGAAATCCTGATTGATGGAGTGGTAAAATAGAGTTGCTTTCTAAGTATGGTTTTAGTTGTTTTTCGACAACTCTCTCTATAATCTTTGATATGACAGGAAGTATACTTATTGGTCTCAAGTCTTTAACATGTATAACGTGTCTAGTCTTTGGAATAGGTTTTACCAGAGCTATTTTCCACGAGTCGGGAAATACTTTCGTTTCTATGGATTTATTGATTATACTGGTGATTGTTTCCAGCGTTTTAGGTAGTGTCATTCGGATCATATCAATGTTAACCAGGTCGTGTCCATAGGCCTTAGTCTTTATCGTATTTATTATTTCTATAACGTTCTTCTCCGAAATCTTCTTTAGTTCAAAATGATTTTCATTTAACTTTGAACTCTTGAAATACTGCAATGTATCCAAATCTGCGTTCGTATTACCGGGTAAATCTAGAAAGAAATTGTTAATATCGTCCGCAACGTTAAGATGATCTGGTATAGAGGGCCCACACGAATCATTGAGAATAGATATACTTTTTAAGTGTCTCCACATATTTTTGGGGTTTTTAGAGTTATTATTAACATAGAACTTAAAGTACGCTTTTTTTCTCTTGTCTCAAACTAGACGTTACGAGGTTTTTTAGCTGCTTATAATAATTTTTATGTGCCTCTGATTTTGTTTTGTGAAACCTGGCTAGCGCTTCATCACGGAGGGTCATCATAATTTTGATTACGTCTGTTATCCAGGGGGTAGGAACATTGCCTACCTTTATTCGTTTGAAAGGTGCGTGTATATCGAATAAGTGACTAATATATGCATCAAACATATAAACCATAGTATTGACATCATGTTCCTTCGAGATATTTTTCCAGGGAATAATATCTAGATCAGAATTAAAACTGTTAAGGTCTATATTTTTAAATAATCTCACAATTATTCATCCTGGGTGAAAATCGAACCTGGGTGAATGTGATTTGATTTTGACAAGGATTTCTTCACTGTTTTCGGTATTTCATTTTTTATTCTAATGCAATAAGGTGGAGTTGTGTACTAATAAATGAATGTGGTTCAGTGCGACATGGTCCTTCGATCCTCAGCTCTCTTACGTTCTTTGTTCAAGCACTTCTCTGGCATGCGCTCCCGCTTAAAGTCAGGATGTCCTCAAACCATTCTGTATTTAACAAGGTACATGACTTCCTTCTTAGATGGCAGAATCATCTACTCGATAGTACACCAACAATTTTTTTTTATATTCATGGTGTACGAATACAATGTAAATGTTTGTTTGTGTATATTATATGTGTGCATAAAGTGTATATAGTGTATAAATATTTATATATAAATTTATTTATGTAGTGTTGTGTAGTATATGTGTAAAAAACGTAACCTATGTGCGCCTACTACTCACGACTACACCTCCTAAAGTTTGACTGGAAGAGAATGCCCCGAGCATTATATCTGCCAATGTACAAAAGTGCATTCAGTTATGTAAATAAATTAATAGATCTATGTATTTCTTTATATTATGTAAATAATAATTATTTTGTTACAGAACTGAAGATCATGAAATGCAAACAGATACTACAAAAAATAAACCTAAGTGAGTTTTTCAAAATATCAAAATATTCTTACCATCAACGCAGGCAGCATTAATTTGTACACTAATATGTAAAGAATCACGTCAATATTCGTATTGGTTACTGCTATTACTCTTCTATTGGAAAAAGGAATTTGTTACAATTAAGTGTATATACAGAATAGCATTGATTATGTATTACAATAACGTCTTGTACTTTAGATGGTCCTTCGAGCTCGGCTCGTTGTACCATTTTACTAGTCCACTGCTGGACATAGGCCTCTCCTCAGAAAGGAGGTTTTGGCCTACTATACCACGCTGGCCAGACGGTTTGGTATAGGGTTCACTTACGCTTGCCCGGGTAATGGGGGATCTCTGCCCGGGTGGACCTTTAGTTCTCCCCCACTCGTGGGATCAATTATGCAATCTTCAAAAACTATTAAGAAACGATCGGAAACAAATATACAACGAATAAAGGCAAGCAATACGGACACTGAAACGAAGGGTACAAAGGAGAAGAGGAACAGTGGAGTGGATGGGTCGTCCACTGAGGGTGAGGTGGCGTCGGGAACGCCTATCTCGATGGGGCTCCCAGAAGTCAGTCTGACGCTGGTCTCTGGGAGCCGAAGAGCATCAGATCGGCTGCGTTCCGGATCCGCCGTTTCGTCGGATGGCGCGGAGGCCATGGAGGCGGAGCGAAGCGACAGCCGGAAACGTGGACGCTCCAGGGACGAGGAAACGGATACGTCCCAGGAAATGATGCCACCAAAGGTGGCAAGCAGCCGCCGAGGGAGGCAACGTAAACCGGCCTCGGCCTCGGTCTCGACCCCGTCAGGCTCCGCGTTCTCAAACGCGGAGTCGTACAGGAACGTACGGGTGGACGGCGAGGCCGTAGCGGAGGAGGAGATCGCGGATCTCCTGCTCAAGGTTCGGGAGCCGGTGGGGGGAAATGCCCCCCAGGCTCCCGTGTCCGTGCAGGAGAGGGCGAAAGCGGCGGTGGCCGTCATTCACAAGGTGGCCACCAAGTCCGTGAACCTTAAGGGCTCGTTTGTGAGGGCCCTTAAGGACTCCTCCTCCGCTTTGTCGGAGGTCGTGGAGGGCCTAGTGGGCGACGTCTCGCGCCTACAGGTGGCCAACGAGAGGCTGACGGAGCGGGTGAACGAGCTGAGCGCTCAGTTCGCCCGCTTCCAGGCGAACCTCCCCGAGCGGGAAGCCCCGTCCGCGTCCCAGCCTGCCCCTACCACCAACTCAGGGGCATTTGACTCCCAACTGCGTGAAATCCTCATCGCAGTTGGGAATATGCTGGACGGACGTCTGGCTGGCCTTGGAGGCGAGACTGCCCCCTGCGCCGATTGTGCGCCCCCCGCTCGCGTCGGCACAGCGGCCTAAGGCCGCCGCTCCGACCGCGCTCCCCGTGGTGGGAGGCCGCGTTTCTTACGCGGCGGCGGCGTCTGCCCCTACTCCATCGGCTCCCCAAAAGCCGAGGAGGGGGGCCAAGGCACCGGCCCAGGCGCCGGCCAAGGCACCGTCCCAGGCGCCGGCCAAGGCGCAGGCCAAAGTGCCGGCCAAGACGGGGCCTAAAACGGCGCCGAGGAGCGGAGTGGCATTCCCTCCGCTCCCCACTCCGACACCCCTGCCGGGCCCCTCCGCACCTGCCCCCTCCAACGAGGGTTGGCAGGAGGCGAGGGGCTCCAAGAAGTCCCGAAGGCGGGCCAGAAGGGCTGCCCAAAAAGCAGCCCAAGCCCAGCCTTCGCCACCGGTGGCAACGGCCTCTGCAAAGAGGCCGCGGAAGCTGCAGCCGCCCAAAACCGCGGCTGTAGTGGTGACCGTGTCCCCGGAGGCGGCTGACGGCGGGCTGTCCTACGCGGCCGTTTTTAAAAAGGCCCGGGACAGCCTCGCCAACGATTTTGGAACGGTGCTGGTCAAGATGCGCCTCGCCCAAACGGGAGCTCGAGTTCTCGAGTTCCCAGGGGCTGAAGGCGCCAAGACGGCGGACACTTTCGCTGAGAGGCTGCGGGGTTTATTCGCGACCACAGATGGTGTCAAGATCGCCAGGCCTACCAAGTGCGCGGAGCTGCGCATCTCGGGCCTGGACGACTCTGTGACGGCCGAAGATGTCCGCGCTGTAATCCGGGAGAAGACGGGGTGCAGCGCGGACAACGTCAGGGTCGGCACCATCCGCCCCGGTCCAGGAGGGCTTGGCGCCGTGTGGGTCAGCTGTCCCGTAGCGTCGGCCAAAGTATTGGCCGACGCCGGCAGGCTGCTCATCGGTTTCGTGAGCGCCAGGATCACAGTCCTGGCGGCGAGACCGATGAGGTGCTCATATGCCTAGCATCGGGACACACGCGCGTCAAGTGCGACAGCTGTTTCGACAGCCGGGGCATAAGGCGGCAGAATGCTCTGCCGCCGCTCACTGCCCAGCGTGTGCGGCGGGCAATAAGCCCGCCAATCACCAGATGGGGCAGAGAGGCTGCAAGCCTCCCCGCAGTTCTCGGCAGACGTCAGGGGCTAGCCAGTCGACCCAGGCTACCCCCGACGTCAATATTGCGTCGACGTCGTCGCCCATGGAGGAGGTTGTAGAGACGATCCAGTAATGGATCAAGTCTCCAACCTCCTGGTCCAGACGAACCTGAAGCACTGTGCCGCGGCGCAGGATCTCTTCCTGCAAACCATGGCACAGTGGTCGATAGGTGTTGCCGTAGTCGCGGAGCCCTATTCTGTCCCTCCCCGTCCAAACTGGATGGGTGACTGGGACGGCTCCGTGGCAGTCGTCGGTTCCACGACGGCTCATTCCCTGCCCTTGTCGCTAAGAGACAAAGGCACTGGATATGTTGCCGTCGAGTGGGGGGGGATCACCATATATGGCGTTTATTTCTCCCCCAACCGGAGTTTGAACGACTTCGAGGTTTTCCTAACCAGCTTTTCCTGACCTCGATACGGCGACTAGCGTCTGGGCACGTCCTTGTGCTGGGGGACTTCAACGCAAAGTCCATTGCGTGGGGTTCCCCCAGGACGGACGCAAGGGGCGAGGCCGTAGAGGAGTGGGCGGCCTCGGTGGGCCTCTGTCTTCTCAACAGAGGCTCCACCAACACGTGCGTGCGACAGCAGGGGGGGTCGATAGTGGACCTTTCGTTCGCTACCCCTGCCCTCGCCGCACGTGTAAGGAACTGGCGTGTCCTGGAAGAGGTTGAGACGCTCTCCCGGACCCAGGACTCCAGTAGGGGTCACGTGGCGCGGCGTTTATCCCGCTTTCCGCGGTGGGCTGTTGCCAGACTGAACCGGGACCTACTAGAGGAGGCAGCCATAATTCACTCGTGGCTGTCTCCTCAGGCTCCGACCGAGGAGGTCGACGTGGGGGCTGGTCGCTTTCGCGATGCGATTACGCATATCTGCGATGCGGCCATGCCCCGCATTCGAGGTCGTCGGCCTCCAAGGAAGGAGGTCTACTGGTGGTCCCAGGAGCTGGCGGACCTCCGTGCGGCCTGTACACGTGCCCGGAGGTCCTACACGCGCAGTCGGCGGCGTCACCGTGGAGACGGTGAGGAGGACCGGCTTCATGAGGAGTACCGACAGGCGCGGAAAACTCTGAAGCTGGCCATTAGCCGCGCCAAAGAAGAAAAGAGACAGGAGATGCTGGAGGGTCTTAATCGTGACCCCTGGGGTCGCCCTTACCGCGCGGTGCGACATAAGCTCCGCGCGTCGGGCCCCCCCCTTACGGAGACTCTCCAGCCCAGCTTCCTGCGAGAAGTGGTTGAGGGCCTTTTCCCGCAACGAGCGGAACACACTCCCCCGGCGATGGCCTCCTTGGCCGGAGACGACGGGGAGCACGGGGAGGATAATGTTCCGCCCGTCCGGGATTCGGAGGTAGGGGCGGCTGTTCTACGGATCCGTTCCAAGAACACCGCCCCTGGGCCAGACGGGGTACCGGCCCGAGTGCTGGCCCTGGCCCTCAATCACATGGCAGACCGCCTCGGGGAGGTGTTCGACGCTAGCTTGGCGTCGGGACGCTTCCCTGAATGCTGGAAGAGCGGGAAGCTGGTCCTATTAAGGAAGCCGGGACGGCCTGCCGATTCGGTCGCGGCCTATAGGCCCATCGTGCTGCTGGACGAGGCGGGTAAATTGTTTGAGAGGGTTCTTTCTGCCCGCATCGTCCGGCACCTCTGCGAGGTGGGCCCCGATCTGTCGGACGCCCAATTTGGTTTTCGGGCGGGGCGTTCGACAGTCGACGCCGTGTTGCGCCTGAGGGCCGTGACCGAAGAGGCCGTGAGCTGTGGCGGCGTGCTGTTGGCGGTGTCATTAGACATCGCCAACGCATTCAATAGTCTGCCATTCAGCTGCATCAGGGAAGCACTCCACTATCATGGGGTGCCAAAGTACCTGAGGCGGCTAGTGGCAGACTATTTAGAGGAGCGTACCGTCGTGTACGAGGACCGAGAAGGTAATCTGAGGTGTCGGCCCATGTCGTGCGGTGTTCCACAAGGGTCTGTTCTTGGACCCCTCTTGTGGAACATAGGGTACGACTGGGCCCTTCGCGCCGATTTCCCCCCCGGGCTGGGTGTAATCTGTTACGCAGACGATACCCTGGTGACAGCCCGGGGGGCAAACTTCCAAGAGGCGGCGCGCCTGGCCACAGGGGGAGTCTCCCTGGTGGTCGGGCGCATTGAGGCGCTGGGCTTACGGGTGGCCCTAGATAAGACGGAGGCCCTGTTATTTCATGGGCCCCGTCGTGGTCCACCCCCTGGGCCCAGATGAAATATCTGGGCCTGATCCTCGACGGGAGGTGGCTCTTCGACGAGCACTTCCAACAGCTTGCTCCAAAGCTGGTCGGCGCTGCGTCTGCCCTAGGGCGGCTTTTGCCTAATATGGGTGGACCCAGCGTCGCGACAAGACGGCTGTACACGGGGGTTGTCCGGTCAATGGCACTGTACGGTGCACCGGTGTGGGCGGCGGCTCTGACCGCCCAGAATAGGGTACGCCTCTGGCGCCCTCAGAGGGTAATGGCGGTCAGAGCCATACGCGGTTACCGCACCGTTTCGACGGAGGTGGCATGCGCGTTGGCCGGAACTCCCCCGTGGGATTTGGAGGCGGAAGTGCTCGCCGAAGTTTATCGGCGAGTGGCTGACTCCCGGGCGGAGAGCGGATTTCGCCCTCCGCCCGAGGATGTGCGCGAGTGGCGCGAAGCCGCTCGCCGAGCCACGATGGCTCGTTGGTCGTTCCGGCTGGAGACTCCACGCGCTGGCTTCGCCGCCGTGGAGGCTCTCCAGCCGGTCATCGCCGAGTGGGCAGGGCGGCAGCACGGGACCCTTTCCTTCCGGCTGACGCAGGTGCTTTCCGGGCACGGTTGCTTCGTAAAGTACCTGCACTCGGTCGCTAGGAGGGAACTGAGTCCCGCCTGCAGCCACTGCGACTGCAGTGAGGACTCGGCCCAGCACACGCTGGCGGTCTGCCCCGCATGGGCGGCGCAGCGCCGGGCCCTCACTGCAGTCATCGGAGTGGATCTCTCGCTACCGGCCGTAGTACGCTCCATGGCCGGTAGCGACAGTTGTTTTACCGCGGTCGCAACCTTCTGCGAGGTAGTAATCTCGCGGAAGGAGGCGGCGGAGAGGGCCCGGGAGGACGACCTCCACTCGGACCCGATCCGCCGCCGGCGAACCGGGCGGCGGAGGCCCGCCTATCACAGCCTCATGCCGCCCTGAGTGTGGCCGCGGGTGGACGGGGTGGGTTTCCCCTCCACCCGCATTAGTTTGGCCAGCCGCGAGGGGGCGGCGTCCGCGTGTGCCGGACGTCGCCTAAAGAGAGGAAAAACATTGAGACGGAGCCCGCACCAGGAGCGGGCTGGCGCTAGGAGGGGTCCGGATGTCTTAACAACAGCTGTTCCCGGATCCCTCCTGTTACAGGCGCAGAGTGGCACACCGTGTGGTTTTAGTCGGTCCGAGTCCGACACACCACCCCGCCGCAAGCCCCGGAGGGGTGACGGTCCGAGGGGATTTCCACACGTTAAAAAAAAAAAAAAAAGGGTTTATGTCAAGTTTTCCTTATCTTTGCAGTGTGGTTGTTCTGCGTAGTTTACTCCCTTAGTCGGCTCTTACGACACCCTCGGGATAAATAGGGGTGGTGACACTCTGTATTCTTAATCCGTCACCACACAGATAATACCATTTCGTACTACATGCTAATAAGAAAATATTATTTTACAGGACAAAAGACAAGCCGCTTGCTAAGCAGAGTAAGATGCGAATTATTTTTGCTGACGATGAACCTCACAAGTGAGTTGTAAACGCAATTTTACACAATATCTTGCTGCTTCTTATAATTTAGAGAAAGAGAATAGCTTGAGAAGGAAGGTACTTCTTCATGAGAATATACCTAATAGGTCAATCGTTTATTGCGTTGCATCATGATCTTAGCCGAAAGACGTCCACCGATGGACATAGGCCTCCCCCAAGGCTCTCCACAACAACTGGTCCTGTGCGGCCCACATTCAACGGCTACCCGCGAGCTTAACCAGGGCGTCGGAGAACTTTTTAGGGGGCCTGCCCTAAAGAAATATACTTTTAAAATTAAAAAAACATAATGTTTTATCTTAAAACTAGCTAACGAACTGTACCTACCGTCTGACTTATCGAATGAACTTATCGTGTGTTACATAACTTAAAAAAGTTTGAAACCAAATACCTGTAACTTTACTAATACCAAACATTTAACAACGGATACACGCTACCACGATAAACTTAACGCCGAAGCCACGCGACCTCGCTTAACCAATCTTCTAACGAGAAAAAACTATTTATTTTATATTATTCTATTAAGTGCAGTATTCTATGTACAAATTAAATACACAAACCTGGTCCTTCGAGCTCGGCTCCACTTATCACGAGCTTCAGCACATAGATTGACTCTACGGATTTTAAATGTACCAAGATATTTCTATAAGTGCGATATTTTTAGTCAAAATGAGGTTTTTTTATGAAAATCAGAATTTATGAGTTAGAATTTAACTGTTAGTTTCTTAACACATTAAATATTTAGGATGTATACGGGATTCAACCGTTATTTTTACCGTGGCACAGCCTAGCTTCGACACAAATAGTTCGGCTCAATCCCTTCCCTCCCGCATATTAGTAAGGTATGCTTATATTGACGGTAAAGAATAAAACATTTTTATTGTTAAATATTCAGGCCTGATACCCGCGCCACACAAGATCAAGCTGTAAAACCAAATTCTAATAACCCAGTGTCTAAGGACCCGGTGTCTAACGACCCAGTGTCGGACGACCCTGTTACCAATGACCCAGCGACATTAGAAGATGAGGGAGACCTCGTTATTGACGAATCTGAAACGTAAGTGGTTCTTTGTTTAACTTCAAGCTGGATTTACAGCTTTGTGGAACGCTCATCACTATTTAACCGACTTCAAAAAGAGGGCATTCCGATTCGGTTGTACTTGATTGTTAGCTTAAAGCTCCGTCATTTCGTTTTTTTTTTTAAATATTGTTAATAAAGTCAGCAAGCTGAAGTGGCAGTGGGCTGGCCATATTAGCCGCAGAACCGACAACCGTCGGGGAAAACGAGTTCTTAAGTGGAGACCGCGTCTCGGCAAACGTAGTGTAGGACGCCCACAGGCGAGGTGGAGTGACGATTTGCGCAAGATGGCTGGCAGGAGCTGGATGCGAGAAGCCCAAAATCGATCTAAGTGGCGTGCAATTGGAGAGGCCTATGTCCAGCAGTGGACTGCGATAGGCTGATGATGATGATATAAAGTCAACATTTTGCGAATTTAACATTATAGTAAAGAATGCAATATATATAGATTGATCTCAATGTTCATATTTATGTTTAAGTGCTTTAAATAATAATTTGAGTAAGAATTCTGACGAAAAATACTATATTATACAATGAACAAAAAGCATCTTTGGGGCCATTCATAAATTACGCCACACGTTAGGGGGGAAGGGGGGGTGTGTGTAGTGACATTGCGTGACACGGTGTGGGAGGGGTCCTAAGATTTGTGACGTCACGTTTCAAAACACAATAGTCTAAGTATCACATTTGGGATATCTGACACACAACGCCATCTAGTTTCAAACTAAGTAGAGCTTGTGCTATGAAAATTATATTTACTGATAGAATACTTATATACCCTTTTTTGTAAATACACACATATTATATATAGAAACACCCAAATTTGTGTTTTTCGTTGGTCCCAAATTTGTATTATTAACAGTATTATAGGTACAATTAATTACTTTTAAATTTTTATTTTTTCCAAATTTTTCATTTGATGTTGATAAAATAGCAGTCATAAGTTCCAAAGTTAATTTTAATAATTTCTAGATGTAAAATTGCAAAATATGTGATGTCACACCAGTGGGGGCGCCTCATAAATGTGACTAGCTGTGAAAAGGACGGGAATGGGGGTCAAAAAACAACGAAGTTCGTGTTACGTAATTTATTTATGACCCCTTTCTTTTAAAGACATGACATAGACAAACCAGTCAGTTACAACTAACAGTTAAAACAATCTTTGGTACACCTTTAATTTTTTCTTTTTTGATTTTACTTCATAAGAATCGATTTTTATATAAGGCGCCCCATGTGAAAAAAATATGATGAGTAAAATTTTGTGATCGAATGACCTCGTTAAGTTTTTTGTGCGCACCTTTCACATGTGTATATATAACTTGTATACTTGTGTGTAGTCGAATCTTTCTTAACGAGTAAACTCCAGTGGGTCGTCGGAGCTGACACACACACTTATTTGTAATAGTTTCATTAAAAGTTCAGGCTAGATTGCTCACTGCTATTACTCTACTATTGGATAAAGAATTTTGTTACAACTAAATGTATACAATATAGAATTGCATTAATTGTGTATTACAAAAAGATCTGGTATTTCATCTTAGATGGTCCTTCGAACTTCGGCTCGATGTAACATTTCGTACAATAAAATTTTATTTACAGGATGGATGGTGACAAATTGCATGTTAAGGATAATAAGATGAGAATATTTTTTGCTGACTATGAACCCAATAAGTGAGTTGTATACACAGTTTTTACACAATATCGTAACTTGTGTTAGTTGCTTATTATAATTTAGAGAAAAAGGATAGCTGGCGAAGTATCTTCGTCATGAGAAGATCACGGCCATTCAACAACTATCTTCTATAATAAATTATAATTAATTAATTTATGTTTATACAGTTGTAAAGCCTAAATAAAATGTCACCATTACTAGAACTTGTGGTTTTTGAACAAACCAAAATGATTACCGAATTCTTCAGAAAGTATTAATATAGGTTAAAATTACTTTTTATTAAATTTGCAATCATAATGTGGTCCTTCGAGCTCGGCTCGGTGTTTATATTTTTATGGGTAATAACATTATTTTACGTAAAATTATTTTCAGACAAGATATACCTCAGGATGCTGAAGATACAGGAATGAGAATAGACTCTCCGGATTTTAAATATATCAAGTAAGTTCTATAAGTCTAATAATTTATGTCAAAATTATATTTTATATGTTTATGAAAGTCTAAATTTGAGAAAATGTTAAGATTATATTCACGGTAAAGAAGAAATATTTTTTTTGTTGAACAGGACTGATACCTGCGCTGCAGAAGATCAAGTTGTCAAAACAAATTCTAACGACCCAGTGTCAACTGACCCACCATATAACGACCTAGTGTCTGGTGACCCAGCGTCATTAGAATATGAGGGAGAGCTCGTTATTGACGAATCTCAAATGTAAGTACTTCTTTTTTAGGTTCAAACTGAATTTACAGCTTTACCGTACGCTCATGACTGTTTTGTCTATTTTAAAACGGGACGAGATCGTTATCAATACGGCTCAAGTTTGTGTTACCTTATAACTCCCGTCATTTGTGAAGATTCGGCACGAATGGGACGGCTCGACCGGAGTGATACCACGGCCTCACAGAAAACCCGTCTTAAGTAATTCTTTCGTTGCCTTTCACTGAGTGAGTGAGGTTACCAAAGTCTAAATCCCCCCTCCCGTTGACTCGAAAGGGTCTCCAAGGGCGGCAACGCACTTGTGACTTTAGAGTTTCAGGTTTCCATGGGCGGTTCCATGTTGCTTACCATCAGTTTGTTATACCATAAAAAAAAGATTTTGTAAATTCTTTTTTTTTAATTTAGGAGTATTCATACTTATAAATGTGAAAGTGAGTTTGTTTGTTTGTAACGCTTTCACGCTTTATCCACTTAACAGATTTTAAAAATTCTTTTACCAATGAAAAGCAACATTATTAGTGAGTAAGATAGACTAATTTTTGTGTGCTTTATGATCATGATTATAAAATCATATTGTTAAGTTTGTCAAATCTTATTAGCATAATTTTTGATTGTTTTACAGGAATCTGGATTATAGCCCTGACGACAGATCTGAGGATACAAAACCCACCGAAGACACGAGGAACGGAATTGACGAAGTAATGTAAGTTCGCTATGTAAGTTTTGTTGGATTAATAATAATAAACATATTAGATGCGATCGAATTATACCAGTCTTAGTCAGTTATAAGTCGAATCTGACTGGACTGATGCTTTTATTTCATTCATCTGATCCCAATCATACCCTGTGCTGACAGACTACTGTTAATATTTCTTACTCGCCGCTTCTTACCGCGCTGAGTGTTCTGAGTTCGATCCCCACATGGGACAACACTTTGTGTGATCCACAAATTGTTGTTCCGAGTTCTTTGTGTTCATTTTATAAATGTGTGTAAAGTCCCCCGCGACACTGAACATATTCCTAGTGCGGGAGTTGTCTTCTTTTTAAAGAAAAAAAAGTCGTGTGGTGTCGTGGGACACCCGATAGGAACGAAGTTGTGACGATCGAGTAAAACTGATTCGACACGATTTTAATTACAACGCCATCTATGAAAGCAGCTACCTACATATTTTTCAGTTGGTTTCTAATTAAAACAATTTATACATTGGTAAAATCTCCTTGAGAAATGATGTGGAATACAATATTTTTTGCTCAACCTAAGAACATAAATTTTAATTTTACTGAGATGAAAAGTAATGATTTCCTATCTATTCGATAGATGGCGCTGAATGACTGACAAGTGACAATTCAAAATAAAAAGTGTCGTTACAACTTTTCGTGAGAATTTTTTCGTCTAGCCCCCTTTCACAATGCGCGATAAGGAACTTCGTTCCAATAAAACAGAAATATTATAGAAAAATTACACCCAGACAGAACAAATTGTCGTACCACACAATATTTGTCCTGAGTGGGAATCGAATCCACGACCTCTGGCTTAGCAGTCAAGGTCACTAACCACCAGCCTACCAGCCGAACAGGATCCTCACCATACTGACATTTCTTCCAGGCCTATCAGAATGCAGCATGGAAACCCAGAAGATACCCATACAATACCATCGCGTAAACGCCGTCATCCCATGGACATATACCACGGTCATATGAAAATCGCAATTAAAAATGCTACCAGTTGTTGTGTTGATGATCGTATGACGTCATAAAAGTGTTATTATGTGTCATACGATCAGTAACATGTTATTATGATATTTATTACGAGTTCGAAGCTCTGCCGTGCCAATCCAAAAGACTATAACTTGACTTGCCTTAACAAACCTCAATCAGTTTCTTTACGTCGGTTTAGTACCCTGATCAACACTTTTGTTATTCTAAAGTGTATTTTAGAAGAGACTATAGCCTTAAAAATTCTTTATTGTATTAAACTGTAACAAAGCTTTCAAAATCAAAAGTCGTTTTTAAAAGTTAAAGTGTATTAAAATGGCAAGGCAGAACTGCGTAGTTCAAAGATTTTGTTTATCAAGTCTCAGTAGCTCAGTGTCAAGTGTCAGTAGCTCGGTTGTATTGTTCATAGGATGTTTTGACGTCAATGCAAACTGTTGATAATAAAAAAAGATACCTTTAGTAGTAGAGATGTTAAACATTAAATGGCTTTATTGTAAATTGAAGAATCAAACAAATTCTCTGAAGTAATATTACTAGGCACTTTCATGAGAATTCTGGACGGAAACTACTGAAACATATTTTCTTACATCTATTCACCCCGTGGGTGTCGTAAGAGCCGACTAAGGGCGCAAACTCTGCAGAACAACGGACAAACTCTGCAAAGAGAATTAAAACTTTTTTTTTACGTGTGTAAACCCCCTCGAGCCGTCACCCCACCGGGGTTTACGGCGGGGTGGTGTGTCGGACTCGGACCGACTAAAACCACACGGTGTGCCACTCTGCGCCTGTAACAGGAGGGATCCGGGAACAGCTGTTGTTAAGACATCCGGACCCCTCCTAGCGCCGGCCCGCAACGGCGCGGGCACCACCTCAAATCTCAAATACATTTATCATCATCGTCAAGCTTATAATTAAGTTACAATAATTATTGCTGCTATAAATGTATACACACTAAAATTGGATTCAACTATAGATAATTTGGTTTTGTTTTAATAGTGTTTTTAATTTAGTCAATATTACTTCATATTAAATGTCATTCTCATATTTATATAAAATCATGAGTTATTAAATGCAATTTAAATATCAATTATTATTTAACAATGTTTGTATGATATTAAATGTCGTTCACATACACAATACAAAAGAATAAATTGGGTTAGTGTAATGCTAATAATTATCATTTCATACAATGGAAACACTACACTAAGTAAAGTTTGTTATAATTTTAGTATTTTGTTCTAAGTTAAATATTGATAGCGCTTTATGTATTATTCGATTATTGTTTAATGAAATATGCATTTATAAATTATTATCGTGGATTCTGTCAATGGTTTGTAATTATTGTTTCACATCATCACATCCACAGCCTATAATAGGCCTCTCCCCTAAAAGGAGATTTTGGCCTACTATACCACGCTGGCTAGACGGGTTGTAGTTTTCTCCCTTAGTCGACTTTTACGACACCCACGGGATGAATAGGGGTGGTGACATTACGTATTCTTAATCCGTCACCACACGGAAATTATTGTTTATCATCTAAGTATTCTTATATGCTGTAGTAGCTTTTACTCACTAGATTTTTTTTTAGTTTATTAACAAAGATGTTGATTTTTTCTTCTTTTCTTATGGACTCTGGCAACTTATTGTATATTTTTATTGACATGACCAAGGGACCCGAGGAATGCATTGCTAGACGGGAAGTTGGTAGGTTTAGTCTATTTTTGTGCCTTAGTGTGTATCTGGTTTGTATATTCTCTCTAGAAGTGTAATGTTCCGGGTATTTCCGAACAAATTTACAGATTTCTAAAATGTATATACCCGGCAAAGTTAATATTTTTAGTCTTTGGAAATTGGGCCTACATGTGTCAGTTTCTTTTATGTTCACTATTACCCCATAAGATGACGCCATAGCTCAACCAGGCATATGCATAGGCGTAGTAGGTTAGTAGCGTAGGGCGTAGTAGGTAGGACCAGCGCAGCTGCCAGATCAGTAGTCTTCTTAACTTCCAGTAGGCGTAGGAGAATTTTAAAATGTTTGCTCTCACTCTTTTGACATGCGGTTTCCAGCTCATATGAGTATCTATGATTAAACCGAGCAAGTTGAATTGGTTAACAACCTCCAAATTAAAGTCTTCGAAATCAAAGTCAATATTTATTGGTGCCTTTTGATGAGGGTAGAATGGCATTATCTTTGTTTTTGTATAATTAATCTCTAAATTATGTTCAGCCATCCAGAATGATGTTTTCACCAAAATTTACTTTAGTTTCTCACTCAAATTTAAGCTACTTTCACAAGTGACAAGTAGAGAGATATCATCTGCAAACAACACGCATGGTCCACCTATGGCTTTGGGCAAATCATTGCTGTAAATGAGAAATAGTAAGCACCCTATCACGCTACCCTGAGGAATTGAAGCTTTTACATCTAATTTGTTAGAGCGAGCTTTTTCTATTTGGCAAGTTGTTTCATTAAAAAAATCTATCACGACTATTTGCTTTCTGTTAGTTAGGTATGATGAAAGCCACTTGTGAGCTTGTACCTTCGGTACATTCTCTATTTGGGTAAAGAAAAGTTGACTCAAACCCAATACCAACCCGTCTGGCCAGCGTAGTATGGTAGGCCAAAACCTTATTCTAAGAGGCCTATGTCCAGCAGTGGACTCTTAAAAGCTGTTGATGATGAAGGTGATTGGTGGTTATCTTACTAACACACCAAACCTGACCAACAAACATGACCTTTTTTTTCTTTTAATACATAAGTAACTTTTTGCGAATTTAATGTCGCAACTTAATATTTACACAATGACAGTTGTGTTTTATACACCATTGACCGAACTACAGAACACAGTTCTTTTTGACGTCATAACTGAACTAATAAGACAAAATTAGTCTCAATAGTCCGGCCCCGAACAAAAAAACTACTGAGATGTCACGTTCAGAATCGCATGGACATTTGGACCTAATTTAATAAAAATATACTAGATGGCGTTAGTAGTATTTTACGAAAAGTTCTAGTCTTAACTATTCAAAGGAATTATTTGTGCTCTAAAAGTCAAATAATTGTTATAACGCGTACTAATTTTGATGAAATAGTTTAACTACACTTCAGAAACAAAACTCTAACAATACTAGCAGGAATAAAGATGCGAACTATGGAGTGTAGAGGTAAGGAGAGACATCTTTGTGTATGAAAAGTATGCGTAAACATGCTTGAAATTGGTGGCGCTACAGTAGCCTAGGGTAAATTTTAAAGAATGCACTAAAAATTATCAAAGTAGGATAGAGAATTAAACCTGGAATGAAAACATTGTGTAAAATTTTCATTTGCCTTAAAAATAGACTGAATCAGACTGCGAAATCAGTTATGCGTTTTACAGATACAAGCCTCACTCCGTCTATAATAATTATGTTCATGTCATTCCCTTTGGCTACACTAGCGCCATTCTGGTCGGTTTTAGAACTATTATTTATTGCTTTTAGGTGGAAACCTTTTCGGTTTGCCGCCCATACAAGATAGTGCTCCTTCACTCTACACTCGATATGGCGAACAAATAAACCAGCAAGTCATTAAAAACCAAACTACCCACAATTTAGCAATTTTTTCGTTGCCTTTCACTGAGTGAGTGAGGTTACCGAAGCTCAAATCCCAACCGAACTCCATGGGCGGCGGTAGTTGCTTACCATCAGGTGACCCGTCTGCTCGTTTGTCGACTTATACCAAAAAAAAAATACTAATTATGATGTTTACTGGAAAATACTAACATAAATTAGAGTAGTATATTGTAATCGTTATACGTAACTATCTGTGATTGGTGTTAGTTAAAATAAGTATTATAAAAGTAAAACTTGTGTAGGTTAAGCAAACAAAATCACGAAGTTATTTAAATTAGCACATATTGAAATATTAAATAAGCACAACGCCACCTAGTAGGACCAAAATGACCAACAATCTTCAAGATTGCTTTCTATTTTCATATGTCCTTGCATTTGTACAGCCCACTGTACATTACGCTGTCCATGGCAAGCGGTATTCTGTTTACTTTGCACTTGTTCATTCGATTAGTGATGTACAAAAGTGTTGCCGTAACGTGCCGTGTTAAAAGTAACAATCGATGCTATATCAGGGAATGTTTCTATCGATGTGATTAGATAACAAGCTGTGATGTAATTTATTTTTTTAAATCAAAATCTGTTTAGGCTAAATTGAAAGAAACATACATAAATTCGAAAAACCATACTTTTGACGCACTCGGATAAAAATATTAAACTAGTTTTAGTAAAAAACGAGTTCATATGTAATCAATAACAATTGATTATTAAACAGAAATCAAATGTCGAAGTGTAAAAAAATGTCATCAAAACATTATTAATGTAAGTTATTTAAAATAAATACTAGAGAAGTATCTCCACTGCTGTAAATTATTTATTGATTCTGTAAAAATGATGTACGAAATGGATTAAAATGTGAGTTCTTTTAGACAACAGAGAGGAAAACGGAGGAAGAATCCTCTATGAGTTTAAGAGAAAGAAAAGCTAGACCGCAGCAATTATAGCGTTATGAAAAAAAAAACAAAGGAGTGGCATAGTCTGCGCGGCAATGCTAGTCATCGCGTGAACCATCTTAGAAACTGTCTTAATTAATGTAATGGGTTAAATATTACATAATATTTTTGTATTTCCGGGCAAAACAAAAATAAACTTGACTGCACTAATAGTGGCCTAAGCGGTCACCTCGCCACTGCCTACTGCGCTGAATGTTGTGAGTTCGAATCCACATAGGACAACACTTTGTGTGATCCACAAATTGTTGTTCTGAGTGTGGGTGTTCTTTGTGTCCCTTTCATGTATGGTTTTAAAGTCCCCCGCAACACAGGATATGTTCCTAGTGCGGGAATTGTCTTTCAAAAATCTAAGAAACAAATATTTAAAAGTAATAATTAAATTGTATTATTTTTGATAAAAAACGTGTACTCACACAGCTCACACTATATTAAGGTTTCTTTAAGTATGTGTCTATTTATATTTAAGATTATTGTAATAA